CTTGGATCAAACCACGTTTTCATGAACGTTAGGGCTCAGAAACATGAGACGTCATATTTGTTAGGAGTATAACAGTCGTTGCTCAATTAGGAAACGTTTTGATGCCGCCAAAAATAAATGAATAACATTATAAGCAATTGTGTGTCGAAGGTTTGCTGTTCGTCTTGAGGAGCTCTAAGTAGAAAGCTGTCAGTCACACTCCTGACCTTCACATCCATAAGATGACCTCAGAGGCCTGGAATCAGAGCCATGTGATCACCACGTTCTGAACGCAGAGTCGAGAGGTCATTTGAGAACCTGTTATTAGCTCTGAGCTGGAAAGGGTGAAGGAAACATGTAGTGTTCGCAGTCACGCTGTGACTTCAGTCAATGATCAAATTTGCTTTTGATATTTCTTACAATATGCACTAGGGCTGTTTTTCTGCAAGAAAAGTTTCAAGGATTTTACACGATCCCGGCGCAGGTGCCGATAAGCTCTTTGGAATGTGTTGACACTAATCCCATTTCAGTTTAAGGTATTAAACCATCTTATAAGTTTTGATTTATCTGTTCCCCGCTAAGACCTTGTTAACATGTGCGAAGCTACTGCATTTCAGGAAAGGTTAGAGGTTATGTGTTTCTTGGAACTCTAGTCGATTCCTGCTGTTGGAGTCTCTTCATGTTAGTGAAGTACACTAGAGATTAAACATATGTACTTATGGGTTTTACTAAAGGCTTCACTGCCTTGTAATTTTTGTGGAAACCGGCCCTGTTTACTTGTTACTGTGATTTCTTTTGATGTGACAGTTTTATGGGGTATGTTTGAGGTGATTTGCTCGGAGGAAGCAATTAGCCATCTTTTCCTTCTTTAGAAGTGGGAAGACGACACTTGTCAACATTTGAATTAATGACTTTGATGGGCATTTATGGGTTTTGAAATGCTATAGAATGTACAGTATGTCTGCAATATGTTTCCTTTTGAATTGTCGCTGAGCAGAGCGTCAGGTTGTCAAACAAACTGATTGATACAGAATCAGTGCGCTTTTCCAGACATAACATTCCTTCATTTTTGCTCCTTCTCTTTTGCTTTGAAGTTTGAGATGAAGGGGAGAACAGCTGGGACGTCTGAAGCCAAAGGAAGAGTGTGGGAGGTGGTGTAATGTGAAAGTTAAGCATTGTGGGTAAGTGTTTGTGTGCGTGTGTGTGTGTGACAGGTGTCCACTGTGTCTCGCTGGAAAGGGACAGTAGCTATATTTAGCGCCTCTGACAAGTTTCCACCACTCCTGTCAGGCAACAGCATACCCATAATTACAGCGTATATGTGTGTGTGTTTGTTTCTGTTTTACTGCGTTTTATTCCGGTATTTAATGTCAGAGGTCCATAAGAGGCATTGTGGGAGTTCTTGTTATGTGTGTAATTCATCCACCGACACATTATTTTGCTCTATTTTTGATCAACATGCAAACCCTGCAATCCAACTGTTCTTTTAATTACTAAAACACAGTTTCTCCTCAATAACCTTTATGTGGCTTATTTCTATTTAGCCAGAGGCGCATGTTCTGCTGTACTTTACTTCCACCTAGTGGACCACTGTAACATCACACAGGAAGCAGAAACATATTTAGGTCATTCTCAGATATTTAGAGACTACATAAAACTATTAAAAATAGTTTTCATTAAATAAAGCTGAAATAAAAAAACAGTTAATTAAAAATATTTATATTAATATATAAACATACTAAAATAACACTGGCTCTATACTGTAGTCTTTACTGTATTGTAGTCTGTAGTCATTCCATTTCCAATTAGATGAAAGAACCTAAAGTCATTTTTAAAAAATGTGTCACTCATTATTTGATGTGACTGCCAAAAATAAAGATATTTTTTCTAAATATGAACTGGCAAAATACCCATTTCATTTCCGAGAAGGTAATGTCACACGCATGTAACATGATTAACCCCTTAAGTGTCACGGGCCCACCGGTGGGCCCAAATCCTTTACATTATTAAAACAGTAATATCCTATACTAAACCTAAACTAATCTTGACAAACTATATATCATTTGAAAGCTTACAATCTCTAGTTTCCATATTTGGTGATTGATTTTCAAAATAAATTACACAGGAGCCGTAATTTATCAATTTGCAACAATAATATTTTCATACTCTTAGACCTTTATTTTGAAATAGTGATGAACATAAAAAATCATGAAAGAAGGGTAGAAACCTCAGATTGTTTTCATGCCAAGAGTTCAAAAGATAGCATCCATTCAATTATTTAAAAAAAAAAAGGTCTGAATTTTTTTTTTATATAAAGAAAAAAATTATATGATGTGGCAGGAAGCTAAAATGCACATGCGTGTTCTTTTTGCGATGTTTCTTAGAGGTTGAAATCATATCAAAATCTGCCAAATTTCTCATATTACTTCTGAATAGGATGTCTACTTCATAAATTGTATGAAAATTGTGGAAATAATGGTTCATATCACTCAAAACACATATGGAAATGGAGGCGCCCTTATATGGGCAGTAATGGAGTCTGGTTGTCATCTAGTGAAAAAGTTTGGTACTGCGCCCAAACAAAATCTTACTGAAAGCTCATTTTTTGAGATATTAACCTAAAATTTGAAACACAACTTGTTCAGATTTTTGCCTTTGATTTTTTTGCAGTTTTAGAGTCGCCCAGGTTTTGAAAATATGTATTTTATATAAAATATGAATAATTAAATTTTTTACATTGTACATTTTCATAAACTCAAACTTCTATAACTTTTTTTCTGTTTCACTTTCTTAATTTATTTCACTTCTACAAAAATCTGCCAAATGTCTTCTTTAAAACAAGACCAATCTTACGTCTATATTCCGAAGCATTCTTGAATTACAACCATTTAAGTTCGAAATGTGCATTTTCATGTATATTCAAAAAAGGGGGGTGACACTTAAAGGGTTAAGTCATGTGACATAATTTAACGTACTATTCTTTGAAACATTAACTATACTGTACTTACTGTTTTTGAAGCGTATACTGTGCAGTATTCAGTGAGCTTAATCAATGTCGTATTTGATTCTGAAACCGTCTGGCTTCTTCATCTTGTTCCTGTAACAATAAATAACAAAATTTTCTGACAACAATATAAGAATGTCATTGCATAATACTGTTATGAAATATATATAAACAAATACTGAAAATATGCTTATGTAACAGCCCTTTGAGATGATGTGAAACCAACAGAATAACTGGAGGGTAAATTCATTGTAAAGTGACCCAGTCAGTCAACATCATATGCTGTGCGCAAACACTATTTGCATAATTACTGCACCAAATTAGGTCTAAAAGCCTTTTTCAAAACCTGTGCCTGCAAACACTGTCATTTCAAATTTGGTGGCAGTGAAGTGACAGTGATATGTGTATGGAAACCGTTTAACTAGATGTTCTTTGAAGGGAGAGGAGCATGGGTTTCCCTGTCAACACCATCTTCTCAGTGGCAGATGAGGTCAGACAGGAGGGGGGTGTTCTAAACTGCCAGCAGGATGAAATTTAAGACACGCTCCGAGCCACCCCCCATCTGTGACTCCTCCAATCCGACTGCACGTTGTTATTCTCGGTGCCCTTTAAGATTTATGCTGGTCACTTACGTCTTTCCTTCGCTTTGCGACATTGTGATAGGTAAGATGTATATATGTTAGATTCGCATGGACAAATCTGTGCTGTACTTACACCGTAGCAGAATTTGGGATTGGTTTGTGTTATCAGCTTCCCATATCATTGTGGACCATTCATACATCCAGTTATAAGTTGTTTGCCTGGTGTGCAACTTTTCATGACCTTTGGAAGTTAGATGCATGCGTGGACACCTGCAATGTGGACAAATGCAAGGTAGAAAAGTCAAATTATTACATACTCAACTCTAGAATAAGTAGACAGCACTTTTAATCTCTCATCCCCTAAAATGAAGTTGCAGTTATCGATCAAAGTTTACGCACTAAATAAAATAATTCTATACATAAAATGTTACATACGAAATGTATAACTAACAACATCACCTAGTTTCATTCGATTTGGGTTTTGACTAGAGTGCTGACAACTAGTGTTGTTTCGTTTTTGAATGAATCATTTAAGCGAACAAAGCATTCCGGTTCGAACGAATCATTCATGTTTTCCGTTCACTGAAGCAAGTGACCGATTTCCTCCAAGTGAGAACGAAGCTTGTTCGTGAATAACTGATCTATAAACGTCATTTATATAGATCAGTGTTAATATACCCTGAAATATGTGTAGCCTAGTATGCTATAAATATTCTATTCAAGTCTGCGAGTCAGCGTCGTTCAAAACAAGGAGAGAAATAAGAGTGCGGAAGAATTATGAATGTTAACATGACTATACATAAAAAATAGGTAACTTATATTGAAACAACATTAAACTACTAAATGTATTATTTATGCTGTTAGCTATAGGTCTATATAAATTGGGGGGAAAGCTTTATGCGTCGTTATGGATTTGAACGACACTATATTAAGTGAATGAGTCGATTCACTCACCCTTTATTTTCGCTTGTCACCACCTACTGGCATTCATTAGCTATGTAATCTACAGAAAATATCACTGAACGAATTAATTAATACATCTGATTCTGAATAAACATTTTAGTGAATGGGGTTAAAAGATTCGAATCAAAATAGTAAATAAAAAAAATCCAAACCACTCTACTGACGACAGAAGCACACATGCGTAGATAAAAAAACCGCTTTAAAATAACGTTAGTGAAGTAACGTAAGTTTCACCGACTTGAAAGAAGCACCTCAGGGCGGCTCAAACTAATTTCTAAACATATTAAAACAATGACATTAGTCGATACCTGCCATGGATTGAATACATCCTGGTTCTTTCTCTGTCGAATCGCCAAATACTAGTCTGTACGACATAACGAATTAATATTAATTTCATCATGCAGACGTTGCTTTGAATTCTTCTAGGCGCGTCCCCTCACGTGACTAATAAATATTCATGAGCAAAGCTTTCTCTGTAGTACTATTGGTGAATTCGTTTCCTATCGAGGAAGTTATCGTTTCGAGTAGTGATTCAACGCGCTTAAGCATTTACAGTGAATAATATCATTATCGATAGAGAAGCTTCATATAATGTGATGAACATAAACACAAAAGAAGGGCTCATTTGAGACGGTAGGCTGTTCTTTACGTGGCTTTCTATTGCTGATGATGTGGAGCACAACCTATCAACCGTGTGTAACCTATCATTGTTTTCATCTGTCATTGTCAATATCATGAGTCGATAGCATTTAGCTTCAATCCATATACGTGTGAGATACATTTATTTGTTAGAGGAACGGTTGTTGTGAGATTTGAGGCAAGCTTCAGTGATATATCTGTGGGAATGTGACTTGATATTGCTATGGCAACGTGTCATCAGTGCTTATGGACCAAAACATGAGCATCATCATCGGTGTGATTAAAGATCGAAGTGATACAAACCTTTCAGATCAGACTGTTGATACATCGTGGATCATTATAGTGGTAACACGTTCTGTTTAAAAAGTATCCCGAAAAAGCTAACTTCCAAAACACTGATTAACATTACGCTAATACAGTAACATGCAGCTTTACCGTTTATAAATGCCTTATATTCAAAATCCCATCCCTTACAGATATATCACTAAAATACACGTTAGGCTACTCAGATTGTACAGTGGGGTTCAAGAGTATGCAGCCACATTGAAATGATATATGTAATTAAATAGAAAATTTTGAACACAAGAAAAAAAAGAACACAAATCAAATCTGGTTGGGGAAGTTCTGTTTTTTACTAAGATCTAAACATATATGTAATATTAGTACATAGAATTATATTTTAGCAACATATTTCATATCACATTCAATTTTATTTAATGTTTTTCTTTACATAAATAATGCTACAAATATATTATTAGAATGACACTTAAGAATCACAATTAACAACAACAATGTTCATCACCAAATATTTAAAAGGATAGTTCACCCAAAAATGAAAATGTTGTCATTTAGCCTATACCCTCGAGTTGTTCCAAACCTGTATGAGTTTCTTAGTTCTGCTGAACACAAAGAAAGTTATTTTGAAGAATGTTGGTAACTAGACAGTTGATGGTAGCAATTTACTTTTATAGTAGGAAAAAAATACTATGGAAGAAGTCAATGGGGCCCTGAAACTGTCTGGTTACCGACATTCTTCAAAATATATTCCTGTGTGTTCAACAGAACAAAGAAAACTCATACAGGTTTGGAACAACTTGAGGATGAGAAAATGATGACAGAATTTTCATTTGTGGGTGAAATATCCCTTTAAATTGGTTCAGCTTTTCACTCAAAATAATTTTTCTGATATTATCATGTAATGAATACATTTGTGTTGAATTAGAAGAAAAAACGTATGACTTATGAATGCCAACTGTGTGTTTTGGCCTAAATGAAATGTTTTATTGATGGACTTCCTGTTTCTCAGAGGGAGCGGACCGGAGACTCCACCATGGCAGGCGACGAAGTTCGACAGAGGAAAGGAGGTGGCCGCAAGAAGTCCAAAAAGGGGAAAGGGAAGGGGCAGGGTGCTTTGGATCGGGCTGGCAGTCTAGATGAGCAAAATGACCTGCTGTTGCCGCCTCCCATCATACCACCTAAAAAGCCTGCGGAGGAGAGGATCAAAACGGCCCAGGCTAAGATAGAGGATGAGTCGGCCATTTCTATCTGCCTGCAGGTGCTGATCCCATACCTGCTGGCTGGGATGGGGATGGTGATGGCAGGTATGGTGCTGGACAGTGTGCAGGTAAGAGACTTTTGAAGAACTTTCTGCAAATTTACACACCGTTTTATCGCCTGACATGTCTTTGCAACAGTTTGAGGTTGAGGCTATAGCAACTAATGTGCCCACTTTAATTATCCAGCATGTCAAGTGCTGGTATTTATGGTCCTCACTTACAGGAAGCAGAGTGTGAGGCAAATTAATGTGGTCATTAAAATTCATTCGGAAGGAGAGAGACCGGACAAAAAACTCCTATCATGAAGCATTAAAGCAATAGTTCACCCAAAAATGTTATCAATTTGAAGTCCTACAAATCTGTTTGTTTTGTGGAGCACAAATTGAGATGTTTAACAAAATGTTAATGCAACTTTTCTTTCCATACAACAAAAGTGAATGGGAAAAGTGTCAAGCTCTAAAAAGAACAAAAAGACGTAATAAAAGTCTCTAAAAAATGGAATGTACAAAAACATTTATTGAACGAAATGTGCATTTCATGATACAGATGGATCCTTTCATCCATGAAATTTGGTGTCCCTCAAAAGAGAAATAAACTCAGATCTCAGAAGAAAAAAGTCCGAATTGCAAGATGTAACCCCAGAATTCAGAGACAAAATGTCAATTATTGCGAGACGTAATTCAGAATTTGGACTTTTGCGATATATAAACTCGCAATTCTGAAAAAGATAGTCTGAATTGAAGATATTAAGAAAAAAGTCAGAATTGTGAGATATAAATTCTGAATTCAGAAACAATCAGAATTGCGATTTGTTAATCTTGATTTCTCACAACTTGCACGTCGCGTAGCTTTGCACTGAAGACCAACGGCTAAGGTCAGGATTTTCCTTAAAGGAGCTGTATGTAAGATTGTGGCCAAAATTGGTACTGCAATCACTTTCAAATTACTGTAGAGCTGTGTATCCCCTCCCCCTCCCCCTGACTCGAGGTTGCCAGATAGGCTGCAGGATCCAGCAGGAACATAGGCTGCTACAAGGAGCTTTCAACTAGAGCAGAGCTGGCAACCCGGATGCCGAAACACTACTGACTTTGTGATTGGTAGATAGGTGGAGGGTGGGGCTTCAGGCCAAAACACAAGATGACAACATCAACATCAGTTGAGGGCTGCAACTTCACTTTTTAAATGACAATATCCTGGCCGTACTACTGTTGTCAGTGATATAAGTATTTGAAATGAACATGATTTCTTAATGTCTAGTGACATATCAGGGCCATTTTATGATTAATTGAAATACATTTCTTACATACAGCTCCTTTAAATAAAACACAACATTTTTATATTGTATACTCCCAGAACACTTGGAATATATGACACGTGTCACATGGGTTCATTCTGTGATATTTTTTGTCTCTTTTAAAAAGCTTGATGCTGGTCGCTATTCACTGCTATGAGACCATTTTTTTTTTTTCAAAAGTCTCCTTTTGTGGTCCGTAAAAGAAAGAAGGGCATATGGCATTAGAACAACAACAGGATGAGTAATTTATGACTTAATTTTCATTTTAGGGTGAACTATCCGTTTCACTCAAAATTGAGAGATAAACTCAGAAGTCAGAATTGTTAGATAAAAAGTCCCAATTACCTTTTTTTTCTTTTTTCTGTGGCAGAAACGGGTTTCCACATGAGACTGAGCAAATATTGACAAAAAAGATTCTTTTAAAGAACGCCTCCCTAATAATCGTTGTCTCAAGAGATGCTGTGTCCTGATGCCGTTTAATGAATGCGTTCAGAGGTGTGTGTTGGTGATGTGGGTCTGGATTTGCTGCGTCACTGTGCCTGCTCACGACCGAGCTGGGGTTGTTTTTAGCTGAATCATGCCCCTCGTCCAAACGTGTCCTCTACGCACTGGCAAGCGGTAGAGTGGTGAGTAATCGAACAACGCTTGCTTTTACAACCCCATGGGTTCTCAATCTGTCTCTTTGTCTCTCATACACACACTTGTTCTATCTCGCTCTCCTCCTTCGTCTTTCCCCCCTCTCGTCCGGCTGCCAAGCACTCAGCCCTTTCATAGCTGATAAGACAGGTTCAGTTATACGTCAGGGGAGACATTAGCAGAGAGCAGGACAGGGGGACAGATGCAAGACTCTGAGCATCTGAGTCAGATGAAATGGTTGATAGGAAGTGATAAGGCTCAGACTGGTGACTGTTAAAGGGCCTGATGCACCGATGAGGAGGGGGTGAAGAGGAACGAGTGGAAAAAAGCCTCAACATGTGTGTTCTGTCACGTTCTGGACCTGTTAGACCAGGCCTGGTGACGGAGACGTCGAGCCAGACAGGACTGTTCGTCTAGTGAGTCACGACTCCTGTGGCGGAGAGAAGATGCACTCTGGAGATCGTAGCGCTCGTGTACATGGACGTTCCAGCGACCTGCGAGTGAAAAAAGCGGCGGCTTGGGAATTATCATAAGAGTCCTCCAGAGACAACTCTCATCAAGGCATATGTCGAGTCTTGAAGTTTTTAAAAGTGGATTTTGATGCTCAGAGAACCAACCGAGGAGAAGGAGACTTGAAGGTGAAGATTCCTGTTGGATTTGTTGGCATTGATAGAACTGAAATATACATCAGCCATCTTGTTGGGCCTTTGCTATCGTGGGACAATCTGAAGATACTAAATTGCCTCATCGTTTAATCATAAGTACATCCTGTCTTTCTGAGTCAGCATATTATTTTTCTTCTTCCTAACCTAGATCATGTTCTTGCCTGTTTGTCTTGAGCTTCTTGTTTTGTTTTCGAGACATTATGAAAGAAACGTTCAGCGATCTAGGAGAGTGTTGAAAGCTTCCAGGAACCCTCGTTGAACCTTCCGGTTACGTTGGGGAATGAGGTAACCGAGATGGTGGTCACTCGGTTAGAGCTGGAGCTCTGTTATCAGGGAACGAAGCTCAGAGGTTTCACCTGCAAGCTCACCCGTTCGGCTCATGGCTTTCTGCCGGAGAGCTCGTACACCATCGCTGCGCAGGTCTTCCTGCCGTATCTGCTGGGCGGACTGGGGATGGTGGCGGCCGGTATCGTCATGGACATTATCCAAGTATGAGCAATTTAATCTAGATTTGCCATATTTCTTGGTTGATATGTTATTGAAATTGCATTTTTACAAATTGTAAGTAATGATGTTTTCCAAAAGTATTGATAAACATTGGCGATACCATGGTTCAGTGGTGGGATTAGATGTAATACCATTATACCACCATTATAAAAAAGTACCTTTTTTTTGGACATGTACCATGGTAGTGCTATGACTTTGTGCCATGGAGTTCCACCTAAATACCATGGGAGTCCTACAGTAGTTTCATAAAGGCATGATACTACCATATTCATATACCATCTTCATGTTACTTCAAGAATACCATGATATACATGTCTAAAAATCATATTTCCATTGTAGCATGTCCCTAAAATCATAATTCTGTGGTACTTTTCTACTTTTTTTTTTTTTTTTTGGTGTTTTCTTAGTTAGTGGGTAAATGTTGAAGCATATAGATATTGAAGTTTAAAGAAATAAGGCAGATTAATAAATGTATTAAGAATAATAAGAGAGGCAAAATCACTGTGATTCTTTGACTGGTTTTAATGCTTTAATAACATGACAGCTAAACAGAATTGTATCATAATTTATTAATCTCAAATTCATTGATTAATTTATCAATTTATTTGCAACTGGTTCACTCAATATTTGCTATTTTTCTGCTTAATTCATAGCTAAAACACAATTTCCTTTCTTCCTGAAAGCATTTCAAATACAACTGAGATTTTTTTTTATTGTTAACCAAAACCAAAACAATTTTTTTCCTTTTCTCATTTTTGTTAATATAAACATAAATATTAGATGAAATATTTAAACCAAAAAACTTAAATGAAAATAAAATAAATGAAATGTAAGTAGTAATACTAAAACTGAAATAGATTTAAATTAAAACTGAATAGAAATGAATGAAAAAATGTACATAACAAAATCACTCAAACTAAAATTAAAATGAAAACTGAAAGTCGAAAAATAAAAGCGAATTTAAAATGTGAATGAATTCTATAATAGTATATAAACAATACTAAAATAACACTGCTTTTATATGTTCCATTATTGCACCTTTACATTAGATAGGAAAATGTATGTAGATCTAAAGCTACTGCATTCTAACGCAAAATATCCCAAAACAAAATAAAACTTAATGTTTTGTATACAGTATGCAGTTATCTCATGGAATATCAGCACAATTCACAAGCACATGCTAACTTCCAGTAACAGCTCCTCGTCTTCCTCATGTCCTCCAGCGGTTGGCATGGACTGTGTTGTGTGTCTATTAATTGAATTCTCATGGGGGCAGGTGAGATAGACAGGGTGAGAGAATGAGAGCTTGTTTGTAGAGGTCTGAGAGAGAGAGAGAGAGAGGAGGAGAAGTGGGCTAGATCCCAAGACGGGCCTGTGACGTGACACCAGCCTCTCGAAACAGCCTGCACTGTGCGTGTGGTAAAAATACCATCCCCTGGCTGACTGGCTGGCTGGCACCGGTCTCTTATCTGTTTATTTAAACATTACGGTTATTTTTAACCGCATGATGAGTGGGCTTGTGAAGAGAGGAGCGCTCAACTCGTATACTGACACGTACTAAATATAAACGCACTGCACAAGAAGCCATTCATGTTCAGTGAGTCACGTCGACTCTTTTGTCAGTATGCACATTATGAGATGATATTTATGATTTAGCTGATGACTAGTTTGTGTTTTGACTGTAAGAATCAATAAAGAGCTGAAACTGACACCTAGTTGGATTAATCTGAAAGTATTAAGGCGTCACACAGTTTAAAAAATATTGACTGATGGCCACATTAGCAGTGATGTATGGGAAAGCCAATGCACTATTCTGTGTAAAGTATCTGTTTAGCTCAAATTCTTGAAAAGTTCAGTATGGACCTCAGGGCAGGGCTTCAGTTCCCAGCATGCAGTGTGACTTAAATGGATAATGAGAATTATTATTTTACTGTGTACCTTTTTATTTCTGCACCAGTGTTGTTGTATTTGTTGCCCCTTTGAATCATATAGCGATAATTGAAAGCGCTTTAAATTTGAAATGCATTTTCAACTGTGAATTTTCTAGTTTCAGAAGATTTTATTTTTATTTATTTATTTATTTTTGCGTATTGAAACATATTTTTGCATTGTGTTGCTATTTTTTTATTTTTTTTATTAAGGACATTCCCTCCCCCTAGTCTCTTGTTAATCCTGTAATAATCATGCCTAGACACAGTTATTTAATTTTTGTATTAATTTTAAAATCTGCATTAATAAATACCACCTTGATGTATTTTATAAATATATTTTACAAATAATTTTGATGATGTGCTTTAAAATTATTATAAGTTTTTGTTGAGATATGACCCAGACATTTCTTGACAATTTTAATGAGATTTACACTTAAAAAAATCTTTCTGGATACAGCAAATTCTTTAAGAACTACACTCACCGGCCACTTTATTAGGTACACCTGTCCAACTGCTCGTTAACACTTAATTTCTAAGCAGCCAATCACATGGCGGCAACTCAGTGCATTTAGGCATGTAGACATGGTCAAGACAATCTCCTGCAGTTCAAACCGAGCATCAGTATGGGGAAGAAAGTTGATTTGAGTGACTTTGAACGTGGCATGATTGTTGGTGCCAGAAGGGCTGGTCTGAGTATTTCAGAAACTGCTAATCTACTGGGATTTTCACGCACAACCATCTCTAGGGTTTACAGAGAATGGTCCGAAAAAGAAAAAACATCCAGTGAGCGGCAGTTCTGTGGGCGGAAATGCCTTGTTGATGCCAGAGGTCAGAGGAGAATGGCCAGACTGGTTCGAGCTGATAGAAGGGCAACAGTGACTGAAATAACCACTCGTTACAACCGAGGTATGCAGCAAAGCATTTGTGAAGCCACAACACGCACAACCTTGAGGCGGATGGGCTACAACAGCAGAAGACTCCACCGGGTACCACTCATCTCCACTACAAATAGGAAAAAGAGGCTACAATTTGCAAGAGCTCACCAAAATTGAACAGTTGAAGACTGGAAAAATGTTGCCTGGTCTGATGAGTCTCGATTTCTGTTGAGACATTCAGATGTTAGAGTCAGAATTTGGCGTAAACAGAATGAGAACATGGAACCATCATGCCTTGTTACCACTGTGCAGGCTGGTGGTAGTGGTGTAATGGTGTGGGGGATGTTTTCCTGGCACACTTTAGGCCCCTTAGTGCCAATTGGGCATCGTTTAAATGCCACGGCCTACCTGAGCATTGTTTCTGACCATGTCCATCCCTTTATGGCCACCATGTACCCATCCTCTGATGGCTACTTCCACCATGTCACAAAGCTCTAATCATTTCAAATTGGTTTCTTGAACATGACAATGAGTTCACTGTACTAAAATGGCCTCCACAGTCACCAGATCTCAACCCAATAGAGCATCTTTGGGATGTGGTGGAACGGGAGATTCGCATCATGGATGTGCAGCCGACAAATCTGCGGCAACTGTGTGATGCCATCATGTCAATATGGACCAAACTCCCTGAGGAATGCTTCCAGCACCTTGTTGAATCTATGCCACGAAGAATTGAGGCAGTTCTGAAGGCAAAAGGGGGTCCAACCCGTTACTAGCATGGGGTACCTAATAAAGTGGCCGGTGAGTGTATATTGATATGTTATAAATATTATATTTTACACTTTTTATGAAATACTTAAAATTCAGAATTATTTTGAGACTTTTTTTTTTACATATGACCCAGATATTACTTGACCGTTTTGAGCTTCACACTTGTTTATTTATTTATTATTAGTTTATTTATTTGTAAAACCTGAATGTGTTTGTGCCAAACACTGTGCTTTCTAAAATACCAGGAAAATCTCTTTTTTGATGTCTACTTTTTTTGTGTGTGCCTACTTACACATTTCTCTTTTCATTTCATAAATACTGTTTTAATGGTTCCAGGTCAACCTCGATATCATGGAGAACAGTACATTTTCAGTTTCAGACTGTTTGTGTAAATCTGCTCTGTGTGTGTGTTTCAGCATTGGGATGTGTTTAAGGTGATCACAGAGGTGTTCATCCTGGTACCTGCTCTGGTCGGACTCAAGGGAAACCTGGAGATGACTCTAGCATCTCGTCTCTCTACTGCTGTATGTAAAAATATTAATAATCTCTCTCAAGCTGTAACCTTAGTGTTTAATGACCCTGAGTGTGTCTCCATTATTACATCAAAACACTTCAAGCGGTTATTTTCTTCCCTGTGGTTTTGTTTCCAATCTTCCTTAGGCTAACACTGGACAGATGGACGACCCCAAACAGCAGTGGGTGATGGTGACCTGTAATCTTGCTCTTATTCAGGTGGGGGAATCAGAATACACTGGAATACACTGGAAACTGGCTTTAGTACTCAGTCAGAGATAAATTAGACATTACAAACATGAATTAACAGAACAAACTTTCATTAAACATTAAATAAATAAGAATATGAACAATTACTCTGAGACTTCATTCTGCAGGAGTCCTCGGTCTTGAATACCAATGAGAAGTCATTATAAAATGAATTTTTAATCTCTGTTTAATTATGCACGAAGGCATATGATCTGTGATTGTGTGGATGTCTTCCCCAGATTCAGGCCACTGTGGTGGGCTTCCTGGCTGCTCTGGCGGCCGTAGGGCTTGGCGCTCTGTCCAGAGGGGGTGTAGAGCTGGACCAGGCGGCTGTCCTGTGTGCTAGCAGTGTTACCACCGCATTCGTGGCCGCGCTGTCCTTAGGTACACCACTCTTCATTACTTCAAGATGACATGAAATCAATTTACATTCTTTATAGATATCTATGGTCTTATTGTTTATGATTTATATTTTATGAAGAAGAAAAAAAGATTTTAAAATGTAAAGAAATTTCTGTGTCTCTAAAACAATTTTAAAAACAAGAAGACTCCATAACTTAATTATAATAAATAAAATTACTTCACAATCCACAAAACAATGGATAGAATAAAATTGCTATTTTTCTATAAACAAAAATGTGTTCAAAAGTTTAAAAAAGTAAGAATTTAAGTAAATTCATTTTTATTGTGCAAGGACACATTAAATTGATAAAAAATTTCAGTAAAGACTGTTTCATTGACAATGTAATCATTGTTATGAAAATTTTATTTCAAATAAATTCTGTTCTTTTGAACTTTCTATCAATATATCAAACTTTCTATCAAAAAAGGAAGAATCCTTTTTTTTATCACTCTTTCCACAAAAATATAAAGCAGCACCACTGTTTTCAATATTGAGAATAATATGAAATATTTCCTTAGTGGCAAATCAGCATATTACAATGATTTCTGAAGGATCATGTGACACTGAAGACTGGAGTAATGATGCTGAAAATTCAGCTTTGCATCACAAGGATAAATTATATTTTACAATACATTGTAAAACGGTTAATTTCAATTGTAATAATATTTAATGATATGACTGTTTTATGTGTGTTAATTATGTGTGTGTTATACTGTGGTTGTGTTCAGGGGTAAGGTTAGGGTTAGGGGATAGAATACATGGTAAAACTCTACAATAAAACCTTAACATTAACATTAGTTAACTACCTTAGTTGACATAAACCAAAAATGAACAATACTTCTTCATCATTTATTAATCTTAGTTAATGTTAATTTCAACATTTACTAATACGTCATTAAAATCAAAGGTTTTATTTGTTAATATTAGTTAATGCACTGTGAACTAAGATGAACAAACAATGACCAGCTGTTTTTTTGTAAACTAACGTTAACAAAGATTAATAAATACTGTAACAAATGTTTTGCTCAATGTTAGTTAATTTTAGTTAATACATTAACTAATCTATCTATAAATTACAGGAACGTCTGTCTGTGTGTCTGTCTGTCTGTCTGTCTGTCTGTTTATTGAATATCTCCCGAACCGTTAGTCTGATGGATTTCAAACTTGACGGGTGTCTTGCTACGGGCACGAGTAAGTGCAGTGCCGAGTTTGATGTTGTTTGGATTAGAAATGCAAAAGATATCGTTAAATATATCTGTAAAAGAAGCACACATTGAAGTTGTGGTTTAAAAATAAACATTCTGTCAGCTAAACATTGAGTCATATTACAATTTAACCCTTTCACACGTAAGTTTAAAATATTCTAACTGACCCCCCAGCGTGAGTTTTTCAAGGCGACCGTTATTTAGAACATGTCACTTTAATGTTTCCATGGTGACGCGTCATTTCTTGTCACGTGACACAGCGCAATCACAACACAGAGCTGAATGAGTGATGATCTGCTTTTATGTCTTTTTTCCTTTTCTATTCAAAATATTCACACATGTATTAGCTATAACATGAAACACTGATATTCCGATTGTCAAATATGTGCAAGTGGATGTGTTTTGTTGTTTAAACATCTTTATAACGATCGCGTTAGTTGAGCTGTATGCGCGATGGGCGGCGCCATGTTAGTTTGTTTCACAGTTCAGAGAATCGGATCTGTTGTTTCTCACGAAATACATGAAAGTAAGTGGCCGGTGAACTAGGAGAAGAATAGGGTAAAATGTAAAGCTACTTACACAATGTGTATCTGATATGAATAAAACGTTTTTCCTTATTATAATGGAAATGATTATTGTTGCCGTTTCCATAGACATCAGTGTCTATTTTACTAATTCAAAATCACTGTTTTGCTAGTACTTATGTGTATTTAAATGTCTGAAACCTAAAATAAATATTATGTGGTTTAAAATACTCAATAGTTGTGATATATGACAGCACTGAGTGCGTCTGTCTCTGGCTCAGCGCCAGCCAACGCGCGAAAGCACGTTTGAATTTAGCAGTTGGTCACGTGATGCACTGACCGTTCTAATCACACCGGTGTGATCGTACGCTCCAGGGACCAGCCAAGACTGATCACACCGGTGTGATCGTACGTGTCAAAGGGTTAATTATACGTTTATTACAATGTAATTATACATTGTTTACAGTGTTATTATACATTTATTACAATGTAATTATACATTTATTACAATGTAATTGTAGCGATTCATTTTCGAAAAAGTAGCGATTCTTTTAGAAAAAGTAGCGATTCATATTCGAAAAAGTAGCGATTAGCGATTCTTTTTTGAAAAAAGTAGCGATTCTTTTTAGAAAAAGTAGCGATTTATTTTTTTAAAAGTAGTGATTCTTTTTGAAAAAGTAGCGATTCTTTTTGAAAAAGTAGCGATTCTTTTTGAAAAAGTAGCGATTCTTTTCGAAAAAAGTAGCTATTCATTTTTGAAAGGTACCGATTCTTTTCGAAAAAGTAGCGATTCTTTTCGAAAAAGTAGCGATTCTATTTGAAAAAGTAGCGATTCTTTTCGAAAAAGTAGCGATTCATTTTTGAAAAAGTAGCGATTCATTTTTGAAAATAGTAGCGATTCTTTTTGTGAAAAAAGTAGTGATTCTTTTTGAAATAGTGATTCTTTTTGAAAAAAGTAGTGTAAAACATTTAATTATACATTTGTTATAGTCTTATAATACATTTGTTATAAATTTATTACAATGTAATTATACATTTATACAATGAAATAGTGTTGTCACGGTACCAAAATTTCAGTATTCGGTACCAATACCAGTGAAAATCCACGGTTCTCGGTACCAATTTCGGTACCAAAGCTTAATTTAGATAAAATTTACATATATTAAAGTGTATATCACAGTTACAAAGATGGAAACTGTATTAAAAACACTTTACAATAAGATTCTATCTTTTAGATAACATTAGATAAAATGACCTAACAATAAACCATAGTTATATACATAGCAATTATTCTCCTTGGGGTTAATTTAAAAATATACTAATACATTTTTAAAATCAAAAGTTTTATCTGTTAACATTATTTAATGCACAATGAATGAAGTGAACAAACATGAACAATCAAGTGTTTGTATTAAATAACATTCACAAACATTAATTAATGTTGTAAAAATATATTGTTCACTCAATGTGTTGATGTTAACACACACATTAAGTAATGTTAATGAATGGTATCTTATAGTAGTGTTACCAAACTATACAGGAGATAAAACATGTTTTATTTGACTTAACTGTAGCCTACTTTTATTTAATCCAAAACTGCCAAAAATGTCACTCTTGCCTGTCTTCAAAACTTGAGAACCCTGTAGCTGATTTCTAATGCAAGGGCTAGAAATCAATTAATTCTTTGCTGATACTTCCTCGTCATCACGGAGAGCGCAGTTTGCACCGCTTTCTCCTTCTCTCCACAAGCGCTCGCTCTCGCGTGTCTCCGCTATGCAACCATAAACAGTGACGCGCCTGGAAAAACAAGCTCGCACGTCGCTTCTATTATGAGCGCGCTTCCCGCGCGCCTACATTTGAAATTTGCACGCGCAAAAAACGTGCTATGTGAACGTGTGAACGGCCCTTTATGGCAACGTGACATTAGCCTAATTCAACATATTTCCATATGTGGCTCTTTCCTCCTTTCTTGTCAACAAGTGGATTCAGAGCCAACGCATTAGCAGCGCCGCCGGTCGCCATGTGTCACAGTGTTTTTATGAAGAAGACGCAACTCTGCACCTTTCGGATAGCGCATCAAGAACCGGATTAAACCGGTACTCGGTACCTAGAAAAGCTAATACCGTAACCGTTAATTTTTTTAAGTACCGACTTGGTACCGAAGTACCGAGTTTTTTGACAACACTACAATGAAACTATGTTTATTACAATGTAATTATACATTTAATACAATGAAACTGTTTATTACTATGTAATTATACATAGTTTAAAAACTGTATAGAACTATGAAAAACTATGTGTATAACTATGAAAAAGTAGCGATTCTTTTTTAAAAGTAGCGATAGTGTAAAATAATGTAATTATACATTTGTTACAATGTAATTATACATTTAATACAATGCAATTATACATTTATTACAATGTAATTATACATTTATAACAATGCAATTATACATTTATTACAGTGTTATTATACATTTATTACAGTGTTATTATACATTTATTACAATGTAATTATTCATTTATTACAATGTAATTATACATTTATTACAGTATTATTATACATTTGTTACATTATTATTTTGTTACATTATTCTTTTTGAAAAAAGTATCGATTCATTTTTGAAAAAGTAGCGATTCATTACTTTTTCTCAGAGTTTAGGCTCCTGTGTAATAGTAGCCTAGGCTATTCAGCAACTCAAACATACCAAACCAACAATTACTAAAAACACACAAATCATATTCTTTTTGTCTTTTTTCTTTGAATCTTTCATTGAACATTACCACTGAAATACAGTATTTGACTCGGCTGCTTTCTTCCATGTCCAGGTCTGGTGATGATTGGTGTGGTCATTGGCTCCAGGAAGGTGGGCATCAACCCTGATAATGTGGCCACCCCGATAGCAGCCAGTCTGGGAGATCTCATCACTCTTTCTCTATTGGCTGGAGTCAGCACCACATTGTTCCAGTACAGAGGTATGGGGCCATCTAGTAATTCAGTCATCGATGCTGTTTATGTAACCTAAGAACTGCTAGTTTTAGAGCCTAGAATATTTATTTTATGCATTACAGCACATATTGTTACAAAACTGCCTAATATTTAATTAGACTATTGTTAATTATTAACAATCGTTAGATAATAGCAGTGTGGAAAACTTTTAGGAATTTAATTTTAAATTACATAAATCATTTGGTTTTATAAATAAATTAACTAAATTAAACAAAAATAAATTCATTTAAAATATCACATATTTTTATATTTGAGGCTCTAAATACTAAATGAGTGTGAGCTGTTAAAAATGTACCAGAAGAGGGCAGTAGAAATGCACAAAAAATATTACTTAAACATTTTTTAGCTTTGCTAAACCATTTGGTTCCCATGATTAAAGATTAAGAGTAAGATCTCCTCCCCTTGGGAAAATCATCTCTCGTTGTCGTTTTATTCTCTAGAGCCCTTAAAATCGGCATTTACTTAAATCATATAGCACATTATCTGAAAATATGCATTTATAAGACTAGCATGTATCATCAGGGAAATCTAAAAACGTTTGTGTGTGTCCAGATGTGTGGTATTTGTCCCCGTTGGTGTGTGTCTTCTTCCTGCTGCTCATTCCTCTCTGGGTGCTCATCGCTAGACGGAGTCCTCAGATTAAAGAGGTTCTGAAGTCCGGCTGGCAGCCTGTTATACTAGCCATGTCCATCAGCAGGTACACCTGTGCATGCAGAGACACTCTCTTCGATCAGTGTGTCAGAATAGAGTGGTGCAGGTATGACATCAGAAGCTGGACTACTAATTCACAACTGGTTCCTTCGAGATTTTCCTATGCGGTTTTATGATTTACGTGTAAAATAAAGCCTGTGGTAAATATAACTTGACTATAATTTGACGTTTTGTCTTACAAAGTAAATTAGACACAGCCATAGCGAAAACGTAAATTTTGAAGCAGTTCATTTTTGAAACCGTACTTTTTTTAATAAGTAACTTGATACGACAGCTTGGGGTGTGAGTGTTTGCAGTGTACATTGTAGAACAAAACATCGAAGTATCGTCAAGTTATGTTACTCATATATTGAAAATCCCCATAGGAAAATCTCAAAGGACCAGTGGCGAATTAGGCTTCCGGGTTCTGATTTCATAACTGCACCACTCTATAGAGATAACAAAATGAAATGTATTCTTATATATTTCATTCAATGTAGCAAAAAAATTGTGCCTGTAATAGAGGACACATGAGTTGCGTCCCAAATGATGCTCTATGCACTTATACACTATGTACTTATGCACTCATCTGTGTAGTGTATGAATTTTATACGGTTATTTTGTCATGCAACATCGGGGTCTGATGCCCCTCCCCCTCTGCTACGTAATTAAAGCTGCGACAGTTGAGTGCATGAATTGTCTAACATTCCACACTTCATTTTCTTCGTTAATTTAGTGCATCATCCGTGTATTTAAAGTGCACCTTTTCTTTTTGGAACTATTCTATTTCACACTATTTATACTTAAAAACATCATAGAATAGTGCATAAGTACACGAATTGGGACACACCTATGGTTCCCCCAGTCATGGAAAAATCTATAAATATCAGGGATTTTTTTAAATTGGCCATTTTAAATTGAAACAGTAATGCACATAAAAAAAATCAATGTACATTTTTCTTATTATGCTCTGCTCTAGACGGTTTTATTAGTTAGAAATCGCTCTGTATAGAGTGCAAAATTAATCATAAATGACAGGTAAACTAATTAGTTTGCTTGAACGTATAGGAACCCTGTTGATTAGAATTTTTTGTATTTATTAGAATTCACTGAAAAAACACAGACAATAAAAAAAAGTTGACAATAAAATTGTTTCTCTTCAAAAATATTGATTAATGTAATTCTCTAAAACGTATTATCTACTAGAATACATTGTATAGAACTAATTCAATATGTTCAACAGCACTTGATTATGATTAAAATGATAAATGCTGTTGACATTACTGAAACTAGCATATTAGTAAGCTAATATGTTATTCTTAGCTAATAGATTGTTAGCTGGGAAGCTATCTGGTATACTATTATTCAGTAATATGACACAGTAATATTATATTAAGTTGAATAAATTTGAAATTAATAAAATAACTTTGAGGCTGTTTAATTGGGCCACTTAAGAATAACTTAATTCCATGAAGTTATGTGAGCAAATCATCTTTCTTGACCAAGAAATTCAAGATATATATATATATATATATATATATATATATATATATATATATATATATATATATATATATATATTTATATATAAAAAGAAGTTGAAATGATTCTTGTTTTTTTCCATTATTAAACCATGTAAATTAAACATACTTTTCTTAGGATGTGTAACTAATGAAGGAATTATTATTTGTGGGTCAACTAATACATTTAAAATGTATGAAACTCTTCCCAACTTAAGTTTCGGAGGCCTTATTCTTGATAAGACTGTGAGCGATCCTAACTTTGAGGGCATGGCGGTCTTCACACCAGTCATAAACGGTAAGTAAATGTCAAACACAAACCACACTTTGAGCAAAGACGCCTTTCACATACTCAGATCCATTCTCAATGTACAGCAGTAGTAGTACAAAGTCACAATAAACCTGAAAAACAAGTTTAGAAACTTCATTTAAGGCCCATTCCCCTCCTCAACTCCTCATTAGAGTAAAATTGATCACATCTCTCTCAGTGTTTGGAACTCAACTCGTGGATTCAGGGAGGCGATCGGCCTCTGCTGCCAAAATAAAACCTTCTCATTCCAAATCGTCGCAATAAATCAGAGCACTGGCTCTTCGCTTGCGACGTTTTATCGTACATGAAAGAAGTCAAGCATTTTGACGGGGGTGTAACTAATAGACTTAAAAACACCAGCCGAAGCAGAGTTTGTTTGGTTTTACGTAAAATATCACTTGTGGTGATTTGTCAACTTCAGCAATCTGGTTTAGATTTCCCCAGGCTGGTTCTGTTCCTACTCAGCTGCACATGTGCTCTACCAATGTCCCGTCCCTCTCGAACCATGACTCAATACTGTGTTGGCGGAAACTACACACAATGGGAATAGAGCATGTTGTGGTTGTAAAAGCGGCCTAATCCGGTAGTAGCTGTGATTCCTCAGCTGAAAACTTCTCTGACGTCTTCCCTTGTTGTTTATCTGGATCTCGCACCCTATTTTTCCAGCTCAGTCCTGAGACTGAGGAATGAGGAACACAAGGTGGCTGGTATTCACGAAGACTAATTTGATACCTCATTACCTAGTTTGATATTCACGTCAAGGAACACCCTCGAGCTAAAATGTGGAAAAGCTGTTCATTGTGCACACAATACTCTGAAATATGCTGAAAATGTATCATTTGACAGATATCAGTGTGCATACTTCCATGGACGCATGCTGCGTTCTAACATTTGCATCTGAAATGAGGGGAATATGAGAATTGTAATGGTTGGAAAGCTCTCACATTCTTTCCTTTTTGAACTTTTCAGGGGTGGGGGGGAATCTGGTGGCCATCCAGGCCAGTCGGATCTCCACCTACCTTCATTTCTTGAGCGTACCTGGAGTCCTGCCCTATAAGATGAGACAGCACTGGCCCAACCCCTGTGTCACATTCTTCTCCTCAGGTGAGGTCACTTTGAAACTATTTGTGCTCCTGGGATGAATTCACTCCTTTAGATCTTGGAGATAAAGTCGGTAATTAGTAGTAAGCTAAGTCAAGCTTCGTACTTTTGAATTTGAACAAAACTTTAACACAAATGGTGCAGATGATTTATGCGTGTACAGTTATGAATGATATCTCAAACCCTGCTGTTTGTTGAGGAGGGGTCTTCTATTCATTTTTCTATTCAGTGGTTACACTGTGATTTTACGACCAAAATCCTAAAGACTTACATTGAGGGAGAGGCCCGAGCCATATTTAGAGACCTGGGGCCGTATTCACAAAGAATTTTATCTTGCCACTAGGAGTACTCCTGAATCGCACTAAAATATTTTAGCTAGGAGTTTGCTCTTAAAAGTTATTCACAACGCCTTTCAGACCTACTCTTAGTAAGGAAAAATGACAACTCTTAAACTAAGAGTGAGTCTTCGTTGCTATGGATGACGTCAATTCTCATGCACGAGCTTCCTCGCAATGATCACGGTGATTGGTTGTTAGATGACAGGACCATCATGCGGAACATAACACATCATGGAATTACGACATCTAAATATGTCTGTCTCCTACACAAAATAATAATAGTATGCATATAAATGCATATATAATGACACGTTTGTGCAGGCCCCAGTGAAGTGTAATTCTAAAAAGGCAGAGAGAGAGAAAAGTCGTGAATTCAATTAAATCAAATCAAGGTAGCCTAACACCCTAATGAAAACCACCAATTGCCTAATAATGAAAACCGACACTTGCATTAACACTTGCTTGGTTAATTGACATCCTATTAGCCTAAATAGACTACTTAAAGCAAGGAAATGTTGCTCCTATTGAAGTAATGTAATAGTTGAATGACGGTGGATTATGTACTCGCCAAAACGGTAAAGAAAGCCCAACTGGACACAGGATCAGTTACTGCTGCTGGCCCAGTTGGTGCTGAAAAAAAAAACATAATAAAAGGGAAATTCGGCACTGGGATATCAAGCAAAACTAAGCGTGAGACATGGGAAAGGATTTGTTTGCAGATCAATGCAGCGTTCCCGCTTGTGTCGCGGACCCCGGACGACTGCGAGAGGCGGTGGTATGCGCTACAATCCTTTGTGAATAGGTCTTAGTGAGTTAGGAGTCCTCTCGACTTCTTTTAAGCTCTCCCAGACTTAGGTGCTACTTTTAGGGCTAAAATGCTTCGTGAATTACTCTTAGTGAAAAAAATGAGGAGTCCTAAAGTTAAGAGTGACACGCCCATTATTTTTAGGAGTTGCTCCTAAATTCGCCAGTTAGGAGCTACTTTTAGCCTTAAAATTCTTTGTGAATACGGCCCCAGACCAGGGGCCGGATTCACAAAAAGTTTCTTAAAGCTGGGTGCACACTGTATGATTTATAATAGTCCTTTATGACTGTTGCTTGTCAGACTGTATGAACATGATTCCAGCTGTAGGATCTCAGTTGTCATTAATGTCAGACTGTACGACAGTACGCATGTTAGAAGACATCATCAATCTGTGACACGTTCAGGGACCGTGAGCAGCATTTAGATGCGGGATTAAAATGACGACAGATTTTGGCCTAGGATCAGAGGAATCTTTTAGAATTCACCAAATTTGTCACAGACGGCCAAATTGTGGCCAAAATCGTACAGTGTACACACGACTTAAAATTTATTTGAAGAAATGTCTTCAAACTTTCTTAAGAAGTGATAACTATGACTGGTGAAAACTATCCCTTAAAGCAGGAGTCACCAACCCGTCGATCGCGATCGACAAGTCGATCTTGGAAGCATTTTAAGTCGATCGCGAAAAGTTTTCAAAATCAGAGAAAAAACACCAATATTTGTATTCCTTATTATTTATTAGGGGTGTCCCCGACTAAGAATTTTCATAGTCGAATCAGATTCGTCAAGTCCTGCCTATAGTCGACTAATAGTGAATCATGTGTGTGGTGTTGGGGAGGGGGCGGGGCTTTAACATTTTAAAACAGCGATGTACAGAACATCACACAAAGATATAGAAGAAAATGTATAAAAACATTTTGGATTAATAAAACTAAGAAATAACATAAATAACTGCAGAAAGGCCACACTGCAGATAGGATTTGCATTTCACATCAAATTAAATCGGCTGAATTGCCTGTACGAGCATGCTCTAAGTAGGCCTACAGCGCAACATCGATGCACTGAAAAATAATCAACAATTAAGAACACAATATACATTTATAATAAATAAAAATACAAAACGAAATAAGTCAGAATCAAGTCACAAGAAGCAGAACAAATGTGTGCAAAATGCTGCACGCACGTGCAGGGGAACAAATATTCAAAACACAAGTCACAAATAGTTAAATTAGATCACCGTGAGTGATCAATTAATAAAATAAAAATAAAGAAATTATTAAAATAACGAAAGTATGGCCAGGATTGTCAGCTTTGTCTTTTTAACTGCAGAAACAACAATAAACGCTAAACTGGAGCGGCAGTCTTTTTAGCTAAACGTGTTCACAGTATCCAAAAATCAAATTAGAATCGGCTGAAATGTTTTGAAATCACTTGTACCCATACCTGATCGAAAAAACTAAATCCAGTCTTTCACTCGGCCTGTTGAGTCTTTTCAAATTGTGTGCGCGGAAAAAATACATTCTAAAACGCTTAACGTGAAAAACGCTTAACGGCTTTGTCCTTAAACTGTTATATTAAAAGATCAAATTCTGTACACACCTTATTAATAAAGCATACTATATAGCTTACAGAAAAGCAGATGAGCCCAATATGAACGCAACGCGTTTTATTATACGTTAAGCATTTTCCTCCCATAGAAAACCGTTAAAGAAAAAGCTTTACGTGACTTTCTATAGGAGAAACGCGTTGCGTTCATATTCTGGGTTCATCTGCTTATCTGCACATGGAATGGTTTCTTAAGGTGTGTAGCCTACTGTGTATACATACATTAGGCACGTAAAAGTGCCATTTAAGCGTTTTAAAAGCTTTTTTCACGTTAAGCGTTTTAGAACGTCCCGAGGAAAACCAACCTGTTAACGTTGGCCGGCAGAAGTGCGATCATGGTTTTCCTGATGCTCCAGCCTTGGAGAATATCCTTTCTGATGGTGTCCATCTTTAGATTTTCTTATCCCAGACATTTTTAAAGATTTAAATCCCTGCCGACAAGATGCTCCTCTGTCGGTCACGGATCGAAAGTGAAACTTAAATCTGTCACGGGGTGTTTGGATTTATTCACGCTGCACGCACGTTAAAAAATATTTATTAAAGGCTTCTTTCTTCGCACATTTTTATTGACAGCATTATCATAATAGGCTGTAACGTATTGACAGAAAACCAGTAGTTCTATGTGAAATCAGACATTGAGCACACTCATATAGCCAAAATGACATAATCCTCGTTTAATAACACTGCGAAGATTCGACCATGAGATTGGTAGTCGAATCAGGCTCCTCCTATCGAAGCATCGAATCTTCGACTGTTCGGGGTCACCCCTATTATTTATTAATTAAAAATGCACCATGTGTGAGCCTACTGTGTGTAGTAAATCGTGTCTAGGGGATGCAGAGGCGCGCGCGCAGTTACAATGACGTCATTTTTGGCTCATGCGGACGCGTCGAGTATAAACAAGGCTTCACGCTTTAACCAGCTCAGCCTCTTCACACTACGCTCACATCAAGCTCTTCAAGCTAACGATACGCAAGCTAACTAAACGATGGCACAGCGGTGAGGGAGTAGGCTATTGCTAGTTTGAAATCTGCAGGGGTTTTCCTGCATAGACAATTATGAGGCGGCAAACAATATAACGTTATAGACTACACACGACCAGAGTGCTGTTTTCCTGAATGCAAGCACGATTGAAACCAAGATATTGATTTCATAACAGTTCAATAAACAAATAGTTAAAATTAAGTTACTTACATTTTTAGACGCAATTACTGTTTTTGTTCTGTTTCAGCAGCGAAAATAGTTCCAAACAACAGAACCAGCGCATCTCACAGCAACACTCATCCATTATTCATCACTGAATGATTCAGCGTTTTGACCTAATCGCTCGAGTCAAAGATTCAATTAACGTTACCCATTATTAAACCGCCTCATTCTGAATCAATCAGCCGTTTGAATGAATCGTTTGAATGAATGACTCAATAACTCGCTCATTAAGACGGCCGGCTGCCGCTTCTACTGGCGGTTTGGTTTCAAAGTATCATTCTTTTCAACATTCCTTATTTGTATATTCAAAAAATATTCAAAACAATCTCATGATCTCATTTAATACAGTTATAATTTTTCAATGTAAATTATTTAATTTGTTTGGTAACAGCCTTGTCGAAATGAAATTTAGAGCATACCAGTAGGCCTACATGAAATAAAATTAGGGGGAAAATGCCCTTTATAAAGGTACAAAAAATTATTCCGATAAGAGTGTTTTCAAAAATGAAACATTGACAATTTAAGTTTAAAGGGAGTAGGCTAAAGCCTCTGTTTAGGCTATAATGGAAATGTAATTTTGCCAAAAGAAGAACTTTTAATTTAAATAAATGTTAATTTTAAATCAGCCTACTTCAGTGTGATATGTTACCATATTATCATGCTTAATTGAATAATTGTAATGTGATGATCAGATGCAGATATCTAAATCAAAGAATATGGGTGGTTGGCGGGTGGATTATTTTTAATTTTTAACAACAGATTCGAGTGACTCAAAGTGCACCAGATTAATGAATTTATCTTTAAAATGTACAAATTTTTCTCCCGGGGGGGCATGCCCCCGGACCCCCCTAGTGTTACGATTTTACAACCTCCGCCTCATTTAGAGCCGGGAAAAACCCTTTATTGGCTATTGTTAAAAGGAGATCTGTGTTTTATGTTGTTGGAAAAGGGAAAGAGAATCAGTGCTGTACATGACTGTTTTAGGCCTGTAATTGATTGATTATTGAGGTAGTAGGTCTGTAATTTGTGTGAAAATATTTTTGGAGAATTGAAGGATGACTGTTGTCATAATATTTTGTATGCTAGTTGCACTTACCATTTTGATTTGAAATAGCCTATGTTTTAAAAGGGAAAATGAAACAGTACATTATTGGCTTAGGCCTGTAATTGACTGATTATTGTGTTTATATATGAGTAATAAGCCTGTGGATATATACTTAACAATGTTTTATTACTGTTGAAAATGTTGAATTATAGTTGACAGTTTGTATAGTTATATACTATTTGTATAGTTAAATAAATATTTTGCTAGTGACTAACAGGCAACAAAGAATGTCAAAGTAGAACTACATTGTGGCCTTGTTTTTTCATAATTTTCTGCAAGTGGTAGATCTTGGTTTACATTTGGACTTGGGATGTGATCTTAGGCTTGAAAAGGTTGGTGACCACTGCCTTAAAGGATTAGTTCACCTCAAAATGAAAATGTCCTAATAATTTACTCACCCCAATGCCATCCAAGATATCCATGTCTTTCTTTCCTCAGTGGAAGAGAAAATAAGTTTTTTGAGGAAAACATTTCTGGATTTTTCTTCGAATAATGGACTTCAATGGCAACCAACGTTTTGAAGTCCAAATCAATGCAGTTTCAAAGGTCTTTGAAGTGCTTCAACAGATTGCACGATCGCAGCTGAGGAAGAGGGTCTTATCTAGCGAAACGACAGGTCATTTTCAACAAAAAAAATAATAAAATATATATATATACTTTTTGGTTTCACTTTATTTGGATGGTCCCTTTAACACATTCAGTTGACTATAAGTAACGTTGCACCTACATCTCTACTAACTCTCACTAGAGTGTTAGTAGAGTATTAGTAGACTGGTAGGGTTAGGGATAGAATAAGTTGACATGTAGTTGCAAAGTTACTTATAGTCAGCAGAATGTCTGTTGGAGAAGCATCACAATAAAGAGTTGGCAGATATTAAGCAGACAGTCTATGGAACTATTAATGTGTCTTTATTATATGCGAGAAAATAATTGATCTGAGAGAAGAAAAAAAGTTTGAGAGAAAAAGTTATCACACTGATAGCAAAAAAGCATTTCACGAGAAAAAGAAAAGAATATTTGAGAGAAAAAGTTTTCATTTTAATAGCAAAAAAGAATATTTGAGACTAAAAAAAGTTTTGAGAGAAAGTATTTTCTCATTGAACATAAAAAAATATTAATTTTTAATTTTTAAAATTATTTCTGAGAAAAAAAATGTCTCTCAAAATACTTTGAAAAAAATCTTAAATACCGGTATATATTTTTTGCTATCAGTGTGAAAACATTTTCTCTAAAAAAAAAGTGTTTCTCTCAAACCGCTTTTCTCAGAAATAATTAAAAAAAATTAAAAATTAAAAAAAATTTATGTTCAATGAGAAAATAATTTCTCTCAACTTTTTTTTGTCTCAAATATTATTTTTTGGTATTGATATGAAAACTTTTTCTCTCAAATATTCTTTTTTCTCTCATGAAATGCTTTTTTTGCTATCAGTGTGATAACTTTTTCTCTCAAACTTTTTTTCTTCTCAGATCATTTATTTTCTTGCATGTAATAAAGACACATTAATAGCTCCATAACAGTCTACTAATACTCTAATGAGAGTTAGTTGACATGTAGTTGCAAAGTTACTTATAGTCAACAGGATGTTCAAAAGGGACCATCAAATAAAGTGTTACCTACTTTTTAACTACAATTGTTCGGATTGAGCTGATCTGCAACGCACCGGGAACTACGTCATCACGTTGAAAGGTGCATTGATTTGAACTTCAAAACGTTAGTGTCCATTGAAGTCCATTATTCGAAGAAAAATCCAGAAATATTTTCCTCAAAAAAATTATTTTCTCTTCCACTGAGGGAAGGGCATTTGGGTGAGTAAATTATTAGGAAATTTTCATTCTGAGGTGAACTAATCCTTTAAGAATAATTTTTGGGAATGCAAAAAATTCTTAACTTTATCCTTAAAGATGCAGTAAGTGATTTCTAAAAATGCTATTGTTATTTGAAATCACCAAAACAAACACGCCCCTACCCAAAAGGATCACAACACAGGCACCTCCCCTTACTGCTGATTGGCTACAAGTGTGTTGTGGCGCTTGGTCCAATCCACTTTTAACAGTATTTCTCGCTTACTGCACCTTTAAGTTGGAAATAAAGAAGAAAATAGCAGTTTTATTCTTAAGAATGTTTCCTAAATCCGTCCCCAGAATATCACTTGGAGATGGGCTTTTGAGTTGGGACCAGCCATAACCCCTTTGAAAAATGTAAAAGTCTAGTTTTGATTAATGTCGATCCTGATCATTTTGAAACAATTGAAAACGCTCATGCTATTTCTCCTCAGGAGTGAACTCAAAGTCAGCACGGGTGCTGTTCCTCCTGGTGGTTCCAGGTCATCTCTTGTTTCTTTTCGCCATCAATATGCTTCAAGGAGGTCACGCTGCCATCACTCCAGCATTCACCTGCTGCTACCTGAGTGCTGCTCTACTTCAGGTGAGCCGTAGTGCTACTTACTTTAGAAACCTTAAAACAAAATTACAATAAAAATGACACAAATCACTTTTAAACCACTGAAAAGTTTAGATATATATACGTATATATATTTAAAAAAAAAAATATTTTATTTTATCATATCATTTATATCACAAAACTGTTTTGCGCATGTGCTACCGCTCTCGCGCGTATTTGCTGTGAGAAACAGAATGGACCTCGGGTTCGGGCTTAATATGTAAATGTAATTGTCGGGTCGGGTCGGGTTAAATGATCGCGGGTATGGGCCAGGTTCGGGCTTCAGTTTAAAGCCCGTGCAGACCTCTATACACTTCACATCAAATTTATTAAAAAAAAATTATAAACCATGGCAAAAAATATTTTTTGAGAATAAAAAAAAAAAAAAACACATTCAAATCCACATCTTAAAAGTAAGTAATTTTGTCCAAAAACTATTAGAGAATTCACAAGCCTCTCCATAGAGAGCTATACAGGCATCTAGTGGTTACACTATGAAACGACATGTTTTATTTTATTTTCTCTCAACAGATGGGGCTAATCTGACTTAAAAAATTGGATTTAAAAGGCCAGGTCTCTATATTAATCTGAAATACTGCAATATTTGAAGAAATATTTTTATAAATTAGGGAAAAAAAATTTGTATTGTTTTCAATGGCAAAAATGGACCATAAATATTACATAAATATTAATAAGTAACATCAAATTGTCTCAAAATACAAAATTAAAAAGAAAAAATATTGAACAAAAATAAATTGCATTGGTTTTACTAGGATGGAGAAAGTTTCATTTTTAGGTGTCCGGTCACTTCTGACCGGGAAGATAACACGTGTGACTCCGAAACGAAGAGCACCTGACGTCGATTAAAGGGTCATTCCACCCATTTCAACATTAAGCTTTATTGAAACTGGGTTATATATGTAGTCGAAATGTAAAAGAAATTTTGAATTTGGTGACTGAGAAAAGACAGAAAATAACTTTAGGGCGCATTTGTATGTAAGACAACAACTCCCACAATGCACCATATTGCACAGCTCCGCAAGCCACTTCCACTAATCCAGAACAGCGCAAACAGAGAAATCACTCTTCCGTCTACAAGGCTAGCTGCCAAATGAGTTTGAAATTCATTTCACACAAAATGTCTAGTTAGTTGGCTGTGGCGAGAAGGACGAGGGACGTGAGAGGACGGCGCGAGTGATAATGAATGACACCTGTGAGACGCAGCGGTCTCTTTTCTCTCACGGAGGAGCGGAAGCATAAAAGAAACGGGCCTGATTTTATGTTTTGTTTCTGTTGTGTGTGGCCAGCTGGCTTATACTTTTGTTTTGTATGCGTTTATTTTACTATTAAAATGTTTAAATGTTCGCCGGTTCCTGCCTCCTTCCCACAACAACGAACCCCGTTACATTGGCAAACTCATTAGCAAATTACTCCTCGTTTGTATTTCTTTCTATATGGTGAATTATTGCATGATACATGGATGTTCAGTCAGAACATGCGGTGCGACACTAGGATGGTTCACATCACAACACAAACGTCCGTGTGCTCCTCTGATTCAGAGATTTCGTCCAGGAGAAATTGCTATCGTTGAAATTCTCTGCAGCAGACGGACTCTATCTGTGTCCGTAGCGCACAGCGAGAGCAGAGGCACCAGCAGTCCGCCCAGCTCAAGCCAGTCCGGGCTCCTCGTCCGCCTCCTGTTCCTCCATCAGCCTCAGCTGCTCTTTACTATATTGCGGCTCGTAAAGATAGCCACGAACAGCGGATTCGAGCAGCAGAATTTCTAAATTCTCTACTTCCATTTCATGTTTAGTTTCTTCCGTCATTTTCATAACTTCCTATCTCCACAGCGCTTGTTAGCTTAGCTTATAAACAAGATGGCTGATATTAATTTCAGTATCTACAAGTGAAGTCCCACCCACTGATCTGTGATAGCTCTGTTAGCGCATTAGGTCCAACCCCCTATGGGCGGGTTTGAAAGGGTGGGAACCAGTGCTTGTAGTCTTTACAGAAATCCCCCCCTCTTACACTTCCTCCTACAATGACGTAAAATGACGATTTTTGCGTCATTGTAGGAGGAAGTGAAAAAGGTAAATAGCGGATTTCTCTCGTCTCAGGGGAATCGACTGCTAAACCCAGTGCCGATCCTGACCTCCCCCTGGGGCCCTAAGCAAAATTCTGCTAAGGGGCCCTCTACCTGACCCGTGATGTCATGAGCTATGTAAACCATTTGCCATTGCCACAGTCACACCTGACACTTCAGTGCTCCCAATACAACCCTCCCTCCTTTAAACAAAACAGTCAAAGAATAAGTACAACAATATAGAACAGAATGAGGTTCAAACAAACAATGTATTTTCTATAGAATGTTAAGATAACAAGTGAATATTATTAAGTAAGTGAATATTAACGTAAACATAAATAAGAAGAAAATAATAAATTATAACCCTGAGCTTTGGCTTTCGGGACTAACTTTGGTTCTCTCTACAGCCTGGGCATTTTCGGCATCAGTATGATTTTTTTTTTTATTATGCATGTTGAAGCAATTCTTGATTTATGATTATTTACTGAGGGATGTGCATCCATATTGACCAGTATGTCCAGCTAATCAACATTTTAAATTCAATATAGCCTATAAATCAATAGTCAATCAATGTCAAATTGTCAATACATTGCTTTCTATCTTGCATAATTAGTGCAGTTGTTTAGAGTTTTTAACACTGAGGGCCCTATTTTTACGATCTGAAACGTAAGTGTCAAAGCGCAAGTAACTTTGTGGGCGGATCCCGGCGCTGTTGCTATTTTCCCAGCGGGATAAATGCCTCTTGCTCCTGGCGCAAATCTAAAAGGGGTTGGTCTGAAGTAGCTTCATTATTCATAGGTGTGGTTTGGTCATAACGTGAAATAAACCAATCAGAGCGTCATCTCACATTCCCTTTAAGAGCAGGTGCGCATGTTGCATGGCGGATTGCTATTAAAACGGCGGATTTACCAGGAGCGGTTCACAGCCGAGGAGACCGACGTTCTTGTCAGGGCCGTAAAACACAGAGAAGTGACGTTGTGGGGATGGGAGAAACCCACCCAAATCAGCGTCGGTTAAACAGGCATGGGAGGAAAAAAACTAAATTTTTTACATCTTCATGGACACCACAATGATTTCCCTCATGTGTTAATATTTTTCCTTGTTATAATGTATGATTTGCAAAAAAAAAAAAACTGCTGCATCTGTGTTGATGAGAGAATCAAAGTGTATGCGCGTTGTGCCACCGCTACATTATGGCCAAGCATGCGCGCTTAAAATAGCATTATGAACAACGCGCAACGCGCCACTGACTTTAGACTAGGTTTTTTCTGGTCAGTGGCGCAATTGTTTTATAGAACAGCAAAATAGCATGAGGGAAAGTTTGTGCCGGAACACGCCTCCTCTTTGCGCTGATCCGCCCAGGGAGCGCATGTGTATTTCTTAGTTAACCGACGTGTGTCTGTGGAGGGAAAAGTCCGCTTTGCACGGGTGCAAAATAGGAATGATACATGCGTCAGTGTACAAAGTCATTTGCGCCGGGTGCAAGATAGAGCCCTGAGACTAGATAATCAGTGTCTTGTTTTAAACGTATAATGTGTAGTTTGATTGGGAGTGCCATCATTCACGTGCATATATTGTACAGTATGTCTGGTCTCCACATATTTCTGCTTGAAAAATGCGCGTTTCATTTCGTGCACGCGCATATGAACGCATGATAACATGCGCGACGCGGTTATGTTTTCCGAGCTGCAGTAAACAAACACCGTTGCACTTTGTCGTTTATCAAAAACAAACGTAATAAATAATTGTATTTTACTCTCACTTTTGTCAGGCACAAAGTGATGCAAGAGATGCACTGCCTGCCCAGCTACGTTAGCAAGACCGAAAAACATCAAACTTTGCTGACATCAAACTTAGAGAGGAGAGAACACAAGTTTACCTGATTGTTGTTCCCGCAATTCACTCTCATGGTTTTTTTCTTCTTCCTCTTTTCGTGACCAGAAGGATAGTTTCGCTTCATTTTGTCATGGATGTTGTACACATTTGACGCGCTATGACACGACAGGGTTCCCGCGGATCCTTAAAAAGTCTTAAATTAGATTTTTAAAATTTAAGACCATAAAAAGTCTTATAAAGTCTTATTTTTACTTATGAAAGGTCTTAAATTTTAGATGACACTTTGACTTAGACATATCTAAAAGCTTTTCCAAATTAAAACTATCTAATTAGCGTACATATTTTTATTTATTTATTATTCTATCTTTGTGGATTTCCCCTAAGTAATTTTTGTCTTATATTTATATCATATTATGTTCTTATATTAGAATATCACATCAGAAAGAGTGCCGTTTTCCCGTGCACGATTCCAAGTGTGATATTTATGTTATACAACTGTTAAATTAACAATAAGTTAACTTTTATTGTTAATATTGTTTGTTTTCCCTTTATTTCGCCGACTATAATTTCAAAATGAAACCGACAGCGATGATTTCTTGACTGAAATCCGCGTTTTGAAAGAATCACTTGCTTCTTTCCCGAATGAATCAGCCGTTTGAACGAATCGGTTGAATAAATGACTCCCTCAACTCACTTATTAAGACAGTGATTTGCCGCTGCGGTTTCATATTTAAAGTACCTTTTAAATAAAATTTTAAAATTAGAAATCATTTCATATTTAAATATTGAATATTGATTTAAAAATATATATCTCATAGCTTTATTTATGCAGTTGTAAATGGAGTGTAAATATATTAATGCCACTTCTGATGCTGCTTCTGTCACCTCTGCACTGCAAAGATGGATTTTGATTGAATGATTTAATTTGACTGGTAACAGTGGTACTGTATGATTATTAGGCTATATAATTAAGTATTATTGTATAATTACTGTATAATTTAATTTGAATGATAGTATTTGACATTAAAGGTGATGCATAACTCTAAATAAGTTTAGAAAAAAGTCCATATATAGGTGAAAATGCCCCTGAAAAAATCAATTTAAGGTGGCAAATATTGTCCCTTAATCAAAATATTAATTTCTGTCACTGCTGTGAACCGACCACTGCATAGAATATGAAAAATATGAATATCTTTGTGAGTCAGCAAGGCACCAGCACAAAAACACAATCAGTAAAATATCATCTAATTATTATCAATAAAACGTTGAAAATATCAAGATATATATTTGTCAATACTGCACAGCCCTTATGTACGGTATTAATTTTGATTTCTTAAGGTCTTAAAATGGTCTTAAAAAGCCTTAAATTTGACTTTCAAAAGTGTGCAGGAACCCTGGATAAACACTAGCTCTAATTGCCATTGGTGTATTTTCAGTGCTTGTTTCATATGTAAAAAAAAAACCTATTCTCACTGATTGGATCACTTTATTTTTTTTTCATATATATATATATAATTTCCTTTTTTTTTCATCATCTGGCTGGAAAGCAAATAAAATAGTGCTTTCATAGTTTCAGGTCCTCCGACGAATCTCCTACTTAATTATATGGATACAAATGCAATCTATTGGCATTATCAAATGGGGTCTGTTTATGAACAGACTGATTCTGGGTTTTACTTGAAAATTGAACAAATTAAAAAAAAATTCTCCAATTATTCATTTCAGATTGGAAATCTCTTTGAGAGTTTGAGGTATTTATAAAAGGACCCCAACAGGAATTAAAAATGTTGGTCAGTTTTACTATAATACCCCAAGGCTACATTTATTTGATCAAAAATTATAATACAGTAAATAATTAAGACAGTAAAACAGTAATATTGTCAAATATTATTCAATTTAAATAAACTGCTTGATATTTTAATATATTTTAAAATTAATTTATTCCTGTGAATTTTCAGCATCATTAGCTTTAAAAAAATTCAGTCTGTAATCAGTCTCCAGTGTCACACGATCCTTCAGAAATCATTCTAATATGCTGATTTGCTGCTCAAGAAACAATAACGTGCTATAAAGTCAGAATTGTGAGATATAAACTAGCAATTCTGAGAAAAAAATCATATTTTATTCCGTAGAATTGGACTTTATAACTCACAATTGCAAGTTGATATCACAATTTTGAGAAGGCAGCATTGCGAGATATAAACTCGCAATTGTAAGAAAAAAAGTCAGAATTGCGGGTTTACATCTCAGAATCTCTTTCAATTCTCTTTAAAAAAAAAAAATTGTGGCGGAAACATGCGTCCATAGAAAACAGTTGTGCTGCTTAATATTTTGGTGGAACCGTGGTAAATCATTTTTTGATCGATAGAAAGTTCAAAAGAACAATATTTATTTGAAAACGAAATCAATTCGTATATGTTGCTGAACAAAAGTATTAATTATTAACAAAAGATTAAAATGTATGTTTGTTAAAAAAAAAGAAATCTGTCTGTAATAAGTTAGCAGGAATTTTATGCAAAAAAACTGAACGTTTAATCATGTTTTTCCTCACAGGTCGGGATCCTCATTTATACGGCAGACTTGATTGTGCGTTTGATGTGGAGGAAAGGTCTGGACCCTGATAACTTCTCCATCCCATACCTCACTGCACTGGGAGACCTGTTGGGTACGGGTTTCCTGGCCCTGTGTTTCCGTCTGGTCATGTTAGTGGAGGGGCACGGCTTATAAAATATTAGACCTCCTCCTCCTCCAGTTACAGCTCTCTGTTCACGGGACCTTTGCCACCCAGGCTGGCTGCAGTGGCTTTGGAGATTCAAACTTTGAACAGAATTTGAGCCATTTTGTTTCTGTGCTTACAGGATAGGTTGACTGGAAATATGAAGTACACTTTTAATCATTGGCAGGTATGGACTACTACCTAATGGTCTGTAACATGATTATATTCTAGGTGTGTCGTCCTGTCGCTTCAATGATGCTGCTCTCATACACACTAGTCACCCGATTACTGTATATCAAGGTCTAACTTTAGGTGCGTGTCACAAACCTTTATGTGCCACATATAAATTGAAGTTTACAAAATATCAAACACTGAAGGACTCTAGGGGGTTTCTTTTGTCTGAAGAATATTGTTTCAGGATTGATTTGAAAGAAAATAGTAAAGTATCAAAACTTTTGAAGGTCATTCCTTTGCTGTTTTAGTAACTATATACAAGATCATAATTGCTGCTAGATATTTATACTGGATACAATAACTCATATAGCCTACAGAGGGCCCAATGTACCTCTCAGTTTGTAATTTTTTTGCACCTAAAATAACGCAAAATAACTATCTTATGTAATGAATGTAATTGGTTGTTCACTTGAATAAATTGATGACAATGAAGACAACAATGATATTGTTGATGTGGCAGTTTTATTCAGTACACGTTTGTAAAATCGTCACTCTGAATTATAATTAACCTTAATCACATGATTCTTCCACAGTTTGAGTGTTGTGGGGCCTCATTTATAAAATGTTGCATAGAAACAGTCCACATTTGATCTTACGATCATTTCTCAAATGTGCCTACATGTGATTCAGAGAATGAGCATGTATACACACAAAAAACGTGTGTACTCCTCTCTTCCAGAAGGTAAATGTATAAATCGCAAATGATCGTGAAAAATTGTGCAGAGCTGAATGGTTTCAGATCTCTGCCTTGTAAACGGCGCATAATGAATCGCGAGCGAATACCTGCAGTACTCCGACTCACTGCCAAGCAAAAGTGTGTACGTCTGCTCAGACCCCAAGCACTTTTCCACGTCAAAGACCGTTTTTTGCATATGCACAATTTAAGATCAAATCTGTGCATACGCACATTTTATAAAGAGGCTCCTGGTCCTTAAAACAGTACAAAAAAAATCCATATTTGTCCAGAAAAAGTTCCACTGTCGTACCAGAGGCAATATAATTAAAATGGTAAGAAGAAATGAAATGATCACCGTTGGTTGACATATTCCCTGTTGTCGACTGAAAAACAACAATTAAAAACAAGTTAAAGTTTTACCCTTCAAAGCAAGACTCCATACTGGGATTCACAGTTATGCAGCACGTGTATGCCCACAAGCTTTCAAAACAGGTGTAAACTGTTAGTTGCATCACAAATGGCACATACTGTTGCCACACTCTCAACAGCTCAGCTCATACAATGAAAGGCTTTCCTACACTCACATTTTCAACCTACAATACATTCAATGTTTTACATCAGAATAATGAAATTGTGACAGTTTGAAAGTTTATTTACCCCTTGCAGAAGATGCAAATATTAATAATATCAACAAAATAATTAGGGATGCACTGATATGAAAAATTTGGCTGATACCGATAACCGATAATTCTTTATACTGTATTTGAAAGCCGATAACCGATATATTGGCCGATAAATCTAAATTTTATATATAATTTTTGAGCCTGATTACAAAACAAAAGTCTCACCATTAAAAGCCATGTCCCAAGCACATAATTATAATGATGTTCTCATTATAATTGTATGTACCCTATATCTACAGATCGCACTGAATTTTCCTTTTTGAAGTGATTCCTATCATATTTCAAGCAATTCAAAAACATCATGGCGAACAATTCGTATCAGAAGTGTCTCAGCTGAAGGATAATTTATCGGCTTTAATATATCATCGTGACATATTAGGTGAAGGTGAAAACTAGGCTTGGGCGGTATCCAAATTTTGATACCGTCAAACCTCCTCCCTATTTTACCGCGGTATACGGTATTACCGCGTGACTAATTAAAAATTATTACATAAGGCTCAGACGGCATCACCAAACTGTTGGTTTGTGCAGGGATGAGTCACAATTTTCGAATATTCAATTATTTGATTTTATTATAGAATATGGAATAGGTTGTGGGATTATTGTCTATAAAAAATCCCCATGTTTTCCGTTCTGATGCGGTGGTGACACGTTCAACCAGAGGGTGGCGATGCCAATAATGCATCTAAAAGCTGTCAATCAACTCTCAGACAACAGGAGAAGATGCACATTGTGAGCGGAGCATGTGAGCGGAGTGGTAATATTTCCTCCAGAGCAGAGAGCGCATTTCTGAAGATCACGCGCCGCGTGCTCAGTCCACTCAGCGTCGCGCGCTCAGCATGCCCGCAGTGACATGCTGGTTAGAAAACATGTGAAGTAGGGCTGCCCGTGCATGACTTAAACAATTTTTTTTATAGTTGACTAGTAGTAGTTGATTTAAGCTATTAGTCTAATCATTTATATTGATTAAATTACTTAAATATATATATAGGAGAGAATGCTAAACCATAATGAGCGTTTTCGTAATATATAGCCTATTCTGCATCTCAAAGCACACATAAAGCTTGCCACAAAGAACCGGCAAAAGTAATTATTATGCATGAAACATTTTAATTGTTTATTAATAAAAAACTTTCTATGTCAGTGGCTGCACAGATAAAGTTTACGATGCAGACTCGCATCTTCGCAGTAGTGAACGCGCATAGAGAGAAATGCACACTTCATATGAATTAGCCTACAGAGAGCAGCCCATTTCTTTTAGTTTTTAATTGTTTTGTTTAAAAGTAGACATTTCAAGCTTTCTATATATATACACTTCTCAGATATTTAAGGCATCTATCTTATACGCTGAGTTTCGTTTATTTTAGGAGACGCGCTCCAGTTCACGCGCCGGCTTATATTGTCTAATATATATCCTTCTTATTTATTAATCCAGGCAATTCGTTGATGAAACATTGATTAAAATGAAGATACAATTTATGCGAAACGAAATTCACTTTAAAGAAAGGCTTTCTACAAAACAAAACGTAATAAGTGGTCAAAAATCATGTCTGACCCATTCCAAATGTTTTCCGATATTGGCCATCTTATGATCCTATCTTATTCATCTCATGCAGTTTCCTTTTCATATAAATCAACATAGATGAAATAAAAAAAATAAAATAAAAAATATTATTAAACATAAATATGAAAAGAAATGAGTTTTTTATTTATGTATTACTTATAGCCTATTTAAGTGTCACACTGCTCCGCTGTATAGCTGTGTAGCCTACATGCATGTGTGCGTGCATATGGTGGAGGGGTGCTATTTTCGAATAATAATTAAATAATACCAGGCGATCTTCAAATATTATTTTTGCTTGAAATGCCCATCCCTGCCAAACTGCAGAAGTCGTGTTCTTCTTCGAGACCAGGTCACTCGTTGCGCAACTTGCCATCTTTCCCCCTCTCTTTCTCCTCCACACTGTCACGTGATGACAACCACACATAAGCATTTTTAGCCATTAAATAAATTATATTTAATCCTTTTCTCCTATATAAGTGCATTGGATTTTTTTTTATGACGGTATGACGATATTGAAACTGATACCGTTGCTATTTTTAGATCCCGCGGTATACGATATTACCGTATTACCGCCCAAGCCTAGTGAAAACATTCACTGATGCTCAAGATGGCAAAACGATGCATTAAGAGGCAAGATTCTGTTTACAGATTTTTTTATACTTCCCTTTAAAAGCTACATGAAATATAGGCTATACATTTCCCCGAAGAAAAAAGTAAGTACAATTTACCCCGATCTTCTCTCAATGCATATTCTGCAAGGGGAATGCAAATTTATGAGCATAACTGTTGTTATGAGCATAACTGTTTTTGTCCTTAGGAAATTCTGGATGATTCCAGTTCAACAATAAAATAGTGACTAACTAGCTAGATCGAAAATATTTTCCCACAAAGCATTTCCAAGAGCAATTTTGTTAGGCAATGTGGCACACAAGGTACCCACTGTGCACCAGGACATGTCTGCCTGTCGGCTAGATATTAATCAGACTCATTCTCTCTAAATATTTCATAACCATTTCAACCATAAAAAATAAGTCATTAGCCTTTTCCGCAGACAAAAAGGAAGAAAGAGAAAAAAAAAATATTAAACGTAATTTCCACCAAGTGCTAATGAACCACAATAACATTTCATAAAGTCATGAAAACTAGCAGGACTTTAAACTGTATTGTAGTGCACAGACACAAAAGGTTGATTTTCTCACACTTTAGGAGTTTGAAGGGATAGATAATCTTCTGCTGACTCAAACACATACTGGTACCTTACTAAAACATTTATTGCACTTCAACCCTTATTACGAATTCATAAGACGAGTGTTTCCTCCCAGGATCATGCCAGGATGTTTGACCTGCAGTGCCCAGTGGGTAGTTTGCACCTCACCCTGCATCCATAGCTCAACAAGAGGCGCACTGATGAGGGTCTACCTTTCCCCAACCACAGCTATGCACTGTTTACCCTTCCCGTTGCATGCTAAATAAAGGGGTGACTCTGTGAGAACACTGTTTCATTCCAGATTAGCTAAACCGGCCAAGGTAGACAGCCTTGTCCAGTTTGCCACTGCAAGAGAAGTCTAAATTCATCCCTTACCCTCTGACTCTCTCCGATATATGACCAGCTATCAGATTGAAAATGTTGATGGTTTGTTACATTTAGACTTGGAAACTACCTTTGTGATCGGGGAGTGAGGTTATGGTCTAAAATCATATCCAGGGAATGTAAGAAAGGAGGCTTTGAGATCAGCCGCAAGGAATCTCTTCGAGATTCACGTCAAGGCCTTGCTGGTTCCAGTTCAAGCACAAAATCCACAATAAATATGCTATGTAAACAATACTATAAATATCAGTTTGGGTGGTAAAGATTAAAGGAGATGAAACATTTATAGCATTTGTCCGTTGATGAAGAATCCCGCTTCACTTATCAACATTCAGAAGGACAAAGGCACATACTTGGAGCTCGGTGAAAAGGTTCCAAAGCCAAAGGAATTTCAGACAGTATTTTGTGAACTTTTAGGGATGGGAGGCAACGCCCCTGCCAGCAGAAATCTGTTCACAGTGCTGAATTCTGCTTCAAGGGAGCGAGGGCAGCGCCATATTCAAGATGCATCCTCCACAGGTTCCCCCAGGCAGTTCATTTGAATCCAGACACAAGAGCAAAATTCAAACGTCTGTGCCCACAAGACATGTGCGCAAGATTTGGGATCAGTTGAAACACGCTCAAACCCTCATCTCAACTTCAAGTACGCCGGCACAGAGTAGTTAAAAAGCAAGAAGTCCATTCGGTAAAGATTGAAGAGTTTCTTCTGGTAAAACGGACTGATGTTGTCAAAGAACTTGGCAGCCATGTCGCCCGTGGTCCTGGTGCTCTTGGAGGTGGCTGGGAATTTCACCTCTCCTTCGGCATCTGCTAACTTCAGGATGTAGCGGGAATCTTGCTCAAGAGTCTCGTACTTGCCCACCACGTCGTAACGGATCAGGCAAGGGTGGCAGAGTGAGTGAACCCTTTCCCAGTGCTCATTAAACGGTTCCTCTCTCTGAGTCTGAGGGTCTACTAAATAATACACAAACTCCTCGAAGGAGACGTCGTTGCCGTTTTCCAGTGCCTCAGCTTGGGGGTCGGCACGATGTCTCCTGATGATTTTGGTCCCGTAACGTTTATGAAAGGCTGTGTTGTAGCTACGGGTGAACTTGTTACGATAGGCCGAGACGAGTCTCTCGAAGGGTTCGCGCACAAAGACGAACTTCAGATATGTGCGCAGACGCTTGTTGATCTCGGCCGTGGAGTACTCCGAGAGTGAACGCAGGTTGCCCGCTACGTGAGCTACGTTGGCGGGAATAGCCAGCGGTTCGCGGTAGCGCCCATCGCCTGTTAGCACCATCATTACACGCTTCCAGTTGGTGCATGCCACTTTGGGGACATAGCAATACAGTAGCTTGTGTTTATCGTCCACTATGAGGTGGCGGAGGTCCTCTGGGCCGAGTACGCGTCTTTTGCGGGTGTGGGTTTGACAGGTTTCCTCCAGGAGTTCCCTTCGACCCTGCAGAGTGGCCTGCACTGCAGACTTCTCCAGCTGGAGGACAGGAAAGAGTGGTATTAGAGGAAATAGAATGAAAAACAAAAGTCACCATTTGTTCCATGAAAGTCAAATGGGTAATTTCATATTTGGGTTAACTATTACTTTAAACCGAAAATCCTTTCTTCTGAAACCGAATGCAAGATTTCTTAACAGTGCAGTTATGGATACCACAAATTGCACTACATGTAAACACATGTATTTGTGTGACTTTTTATGATAAGACAGATGCTGTGTTTAGGGGAAGTTCTTGTGAAATCATGAGGCACATAGCAGTAATGGGAGGGTAACGGTTTTGCCTGGGGGATGATCCACAGATGGGTTTGATAATAGGATTTGATGAGCTGGTAGTGATTCAACTAGATGTACCTTATCTAGACATTCCACTCAGACCTTTAAAAGCATGGTTCTTCCAAAAATGAAAAATCTGTCATCATTTACTCACACATCATGTCATTCCAAACCCGTTTGACTATTTTGTCCATAAAACACAGGAGCAGATGTTTAGCAGACCTTGGCTGTTTGTTTTTCATACAATAAAGTTACACAATGAAAAGTGTCTGTATGCATGCCATGGCGTACGGTGCATTCACACCGTCTGCGTTAACGCTTCTAATTTACTTTGCATGGGTGACGTCATACGTTGCTGAATTGAATGGTGGGTTCCGTTGCGTCACATCACGGGCGTTGCTCGTGGCAGAAGTTAAATTTTTTCAACTTTAACCCTTTAGAACCGGCTGTGTCGTCGCCGACACAGACCAGCAAGCTGTATTCATTGTACCGTAACTCTTCAACCGTTCGCACTATCAAAACCATTCAAATTGCCCCTGACAGTAGACAACATGCGCTTTTCGGCAATATACGGCTTATTACGGTAATTCCGTCAGCAAATGACAGCAGCTTTCTGGCAGAGCGGGAAGGAAGGATTTGAACAGAGAGATACGAAGCGCGGCAGGTTAGAGTGTTCTGGATTGCATAAAATAGTAAAAGAAACTAACAAATACATCGCGAAAGAAGTGGTAGACAGCAGAAGAGGGGATTGGGATGATTTTTAATTAAACTTGGGAGGCGGATGGCCGTTACTCTTTCACGTATCTTTACATTTGGTGTATGCATGTGTACAGTGGTGGACAGTACCGAAGTAAATGTAATTCGTTACTGTACTTAAGTAGCTTTTTTGCGTATCTGTACTTTACTCAAGTATTTAAATTTTGGGAGACTTTTACTTTAACTCCACTACATTTCAAAGTCAAATATCTGACTTTTTACTCTACTACATTTTCAAAATCAGTCGTTCCTTTTTATTTATGAGTGGATAAAAACGTAACTCAAACGAGCCACCAATCACAGTACAGCGCGCGCGCTTTGTTTTGAACTTGCCTTGGTGGTATATCTACTAAGCGCGAACCAACCAGAGCCGTTAAATATGAGAGTTGCGAACATAGATGGTTGTGACCTTTCTTATACTGTCTATGGTTGTGACAGTGATCTCGCCGCCGCGCGGTCACGTTATTCGTGTTGCTCTCAATAGTTCCAAACAAATCGCGTTGACAATGATTTTAAGCGGGACAGAGAGCAGCAGCTATTATTGCAGCAATTATCGGTAAGTATTGACGCATAATGTACATTGCTTACGTTTTTGCCACTAAAATGACTTGCATACAATAGCTTTTTTTTTTCTGGGGAGTAGCCTAGCAGAAACACTGCATTAATACGTTTTTGTGTTTAAGTTTGGAGGGAAATTGGCTGCTCCCATAACATAGAATATATATATATATATATATATATATATACTGTATATGTATGTATGTATGTATGTGTGTGTGTGTGTGTGTGTGTGTGTGTGTGTGTGTGCGCGCGTGTGTGTGAATATATGTGTGTGTGTGTACAGTATGTGTGTGTATGTATATGTGTATACACACACACACACACATATATATATATATATATTTAATGGCGTTGTGCAGGTTTATGTGAATGTCATAACATTAAGATGTTAACACTTAGTGACATTAGTCTTCACTTAGACTGAGTTAAGCAAGAGTCTTGTGACAAATTATAATAGGACATTATAGCCATAAAAAAATCAAAGTACTTGGATACTTAAGTACATTTGAAGGCAAATACTTTTGTACTTTTACTCAAGTGAATGTTTAAAGGCAGCACTTCTACTTTTACTTGAGTAATATTTTACCTTTAGTATCTTTACTTTTACTCAAGTACATGGTATGTGTACTTCGTCCACCACTGCATGTGTATGTGTGCGTGCCTATGAATGGACGCATTTGTATGTGTGCGCTGTGCGTGTATGAAAAAAAGTGTCCTAAATGAAAACTGTGCAACCCAATGTCACAAAAAAGACTTGTATCTGATGTATTGTACTTCATTTTTCAACTTTAAAGTGTTAGTTCCTTTCGTTTGTGATTTTTCTGTTTTTTTTCTAAATAAAAATCAGAAAATGTATTCTCGTTTTTTTAAAAATGTTTGTCTATTTAAATTCTATTTACAAACTCACCACACACAATAATGGTCAATAACTGTAATTTGTTGAAAGCTAATCTTTTTCTGAAAAAGATGACACCTTGCACATGAAGATAGCACATTATTTTAGAATTTTACAGTCAAAAAATCAAAATGTGTGAAAAACACCTATTTTAATATAGTGCACAAGTCGTATGAACTACTCCTATATGTTTGCCATTTTGGAATTTGTCAGACGCAGTTCACTTTCATTCTTTAAAAATGTAAATGGAAGAAAAAAAGATTTTAGATTTGGAACAACGCAAACTAAAACATATTTGATCTCAGAATCTACACGTGTCTTTATAAGATGATGGTGTTAGGAGTAAAATTGGGGTGAATTGAGCTCCTCCAGGAATGTGAGGTTGTTATTTTAGTAATTCGACTTCGACTGCTGTTAAAATCTGTCCCTTCAACAACAGGGGCCCGAGAAATGCACCCCGTCCTCTGTTAGTCAGCGCTATCCACCCAAATCATATAATTTAAATTTGCTTTCAAAAGTATTATCAAGTTTACTTTGTCTTATTTAATAATTGTATAACTTATTTAATAATTATTTAATAAATAAATATTGAATAATTATTAGTCAACAGCATTTCTATGATTTCAGCTGAAAAAAAAAAATACGTACCTGGTCATTTTCTTGTAGTGTCTGCAAAGGACTTCTTCCTGATTTAACTGGCAAACCGTTCCGACCCGAAATCTGTTCAGAAGCTACAAGCACACAACAAAAGCAAAAGATGAGAAATGGCCACATAAAGTTAATGGCTCCATAAGCAAAACACAATGGATACATTAACTGATATTATAGTAACTTCAATAGACCAGAATATCATAGAGACCTAGAAACCAGATAACATGCTAAAAAAGCCACTCGCCTTTGCACATAGCAATGCCTTGGCAACCACCCACAACATCCCTCCATTCTGACGCAGAGTTTTGCATGTTCGAGCATCTCTTACATTTCCCTCAGTGAGTTTCTTTGGGGTTAAGGGACTCGTGACCTTGTGGTGCGAGAGCAGAGATCAAAGTTCTTTGTCTGAACGATCACGTTATTGAGCTATAAAAGATTAGAGCTGTTAATTCTGGGCATATGGGGAGCAGCGGGGATCGTGCTGGTACACAATTACTGCCTTCTCTGACTCCTGCACCTAGCTGATCAGCCAGAAAATTCCTCCTTCACATTTGCATTCTCTATAGGAACAGTCTGTTCTCTTCAGTCCAAGCCACTTCCCCCCTTACTCCCCTTCCCACCATCACACACACACACACTCCTTCAGTCTGTGTTGGGCCCCTTACCACTAACGTAAGTGATTGGTTTTGCACATGTGCCAGCTAAGTCAAAGGGATACTTTAAATGCTCCAGCAAGTCTGGACACTGAGAGAGTAGAGTAAGCAACAATGGTAAAAAGAGAAAAGGCACTTTCCATGAATAGGTATAAAAAAAAAAAAAAAAAAAAAAAAAAACTATATTTGTCTTTTTTTCAAGAAATGGTCAGTGAAAGATGTGTAACCTTCAAAAAATGCTTATCGTAAATCTCAGGGGGACAAAAATTATGTAAAAAATGTGTACAATGATGCATGTAATTATAGCAGTGTCTTGACCCATTTTGTCATTTTCTATCAATAAACAAAAAAATAATAATCAAATAAAATGTATAGTATTGTGGGACACTGATAAATAATACATTAAGCAAACTAAATTTAAATTAAGTTAAGAAATGTTTTACCTCTAATGATTAAAAATAATTAGTGGGACACCAAAGTGGCAAAAAGACCATAAAAAAGGACCATATGAGGATCAAATGGAAAATGGAAGGAAAAAACCCCTGATATAACATGGAAAAGGCAGAAAGAAGGAAATGGGGAGGGGGTTGAGTACATATACAGACCACAAATTGTGCTATGAAAGCAGGCACTGATGGCTTCCCCAGCTTTTATACATCCTCATTATTCAATGAAAATGAATATAAGACTGCAAATCCAACAAAATGCATATGTAATATCTACAGTGAAATCTAGCAGTCTCAATGTGCAACTTTTCATTTTTGTTATTTATTTTACACTTATAGTAAAGAGTGCTGATGCAACATTTGCAAGCGAAATGCTTATCTTGTTTATAATGGACCTACACTATAAACAAAGTTTTCACAATCAAACGAGAGATTTCTGCAATCTCGGAGGCTGCAGTTTCAGGACCACATTTCTAGAACTCCATTTTTAATTTTTTTTATGTATTAGCAGTATACTATTTTATAGCACTTACTATCCAATTATGTATTTATTTTATTATTTTTCAGGAATGTATTTTTTTAGTTGTTTAATTATATAAATGTGATTGATATAGCCTATTATCCTAAACAACCCCTAACCCAAACATACCCATTGGTAAACACACTCTTTGAAATATTTAACCTAATTTGTTTCAATATATGAGCAATTCTGGTTTTCTTCTTGGAAAGAAAGACTATTTCCTGTGTATGTGGGACACTTCAATTCATTAGTACATACTAATGTGTGACTGACACACTTAAAGGGATAGTTCACCCAAAAATGTTGTCATCATTTAATCCCTCTCATGTTGGCCCTGCTCTTACGTTAAAAATAAGCTGGAAAGATAAAACAAAATTGAATCATTTCTGTGGGTCTAGTGTTTGCATCTGTTAGTTTGAAGTTTGAATCATATCTCCATTGTTGAAGTAGAATTGGCTAGTGGCGCTGCCGCTGTCACCCCAAAAAATTGATAAAACTAGGGTCCTAGAAATGCGCTCCTGAAACTACAGCCTCCGGTATTGCTGGAATATTGAATCAAACAGCTGGAGTGCTAAACAACTAGTTGAATCATAGCCTGAACAGCCAGGTCACTTATAAGCCCTGTACTGTATAATAAGGCTGCAAAATGTAGGCATGCGAATATGAATTAATTCAGTCATGAAGATGTTGCTAGGTGACCTTCCAGGAGCATCTAGTCATATACCTTAATTAATATTCCTGATTGCTTAATTCGCTCGATGATTAGCACCCAGCCAACAACGTCTGCCTTTCAGCAAATAGACCCGCTGAGTGACTGTCACAAAAATGTTAGCGTAAAGCCTTGTATGTGAGCATCACAGCTCGATGTGTCATGTGCATATTTTATATAAAACATTTAAAATACTCCTATCTGTTGCAAACACCATAAGAGCTCATATTTATGACCTCACAACAGATAATGCACTTGTTAAATAGTGGTGTACAAACAAACTAAAGCAAAATAAAAGGAACTATATAATGTTACTCAACGCCACAATTTGATGTCTGTGCCAAGTACAATCATATCAGAGCTGCCATCGCAAAATGATATGTCTTCACAAGATATTTGTAATCATAAACATCAGCTGATAATCATTTTTAAAAGGAAGTGTGTGCAAGAGGCCGTTAGAGGCAGTCTGATTCACAACCACAGAAAGACGTGAACTTCCTCTTGTGACTTTTTTTACAGGAACAGAGTAATCTAGAGTTATTTGCTTGAAGAAAAAGACAGATGAAATGAAATAACGACAAGACAATAATACAGTATCACCCAAATGAGTTCCTCAAAACAAGCTACTTGGTAGAAAAAAAGCATTAAATGGCTCCCAGAGGTGAGGTCTCTTTTTTAAAAGTTGTTAGTATGCACTATGAGTGAGGCTCCTCACGTCAACTGAGGCCAGGCGGCAACAACAAAGGTTGTTTGCTGGAATGCTACACAGGCTTGTGGCCATTTATATTTGGCCTGTGAGGGTTTACAGAGGACAACACAAATCAGCAGGCTTTTATCAAAAGTTCGCAAGGTAATGGGCAGGAAGCCCTCATGCGGCGCTGCGACTGCTCGCTTACTAATCGAATTCTGCTCGGCCTCGTGTGGAGAGAGTTTTTTGTTCTCTGAGGTGACTTTTGAGTTTTTGTTTTACTCCCGAAATCAAATGATTTATCTACTCAATTGTCTTCACAGCTGGTGCTCTCGCCCCTATAGTCTAAATATAATTAGGCTGCGGTATTGGAAACACATTCAAATGACTTTGAGGATCATGTTTCTTTGGTTGAAACTACAATGGAAACAGAAGAGCTTATGCTTCCTGGATGTTGTGCTGTAAGGAAGCATCATATGTGTCATGAAACCCATCAGAAGTGAAACAACTCTAATATTGAAATCAGGGCGTTTCATAAGCATTTTGTCTCATACACTTTTCCCAGAAAACGCTGCTTCAAAAAACGCAATTTCCAGTAGTATAGTAAGATGTAACACCACAGAAAAGCAGATCAAACTGACTTAGTAACTTCTCTGTTTGCCTTGTTTTCTCCACCGTTTTACTATAGTTTGTCAGTGTCCTCTTTTGTACCTGGTAGGGCTCAAACTTGGTGTTTTGTGTATCATATAACAGCACAACACTGACCACATTTTTACACTAATATTAAAAAAAAAAATGTTTTTTTTTTAAATAATAATGAAATAATTTTTAAAATAACTGTTTCTATCTGAATATATTTTAAATTGTAATTTATTCCTGTGATGCAAAGCTGAATTTTCAGCATCATTACTCCAGTCACATGATCCTTCAGAAATCATACTAATATGCTGATTTACTGTTCAAGAGACATTTCTTATTTCTGTCAGGACCACTATCGTCAAATACGATTGACAATTAGCATACAGTTTGGTTTGGCGGTCTGGTTCCGTTCTGGGCGAGAACTCCCTGCGCATCCATGCAGCCTAGCATGGATATGAGCAGGGAGAGCAGCAATAACCCCTTAAAACAAAACCATATGCCAATATTCCCCTAAACCCAAGTGACAGCACAATTCTGGATGCTTTTGCAGTTACCGGAGTGAGCAAAGGCAACAAGCATGTTGCCAATACCTGAAAAACTTTGGCAACAGCATGTTACCAACAATACTGGAAAGCCTTAAAGGGATAGTTCACCCAAAAATGAAAATTCTGTCAGTAATTACTCACCCTCATGTTGTTCCAACCCCGTAAGACTTTCGTTCATCTTCGGAACACAAATTAAGATATTTTTTGATTAAATCTGAGAGCTGGATCACTCCTCCATAGGCTTCTTAAGGGATCGAAACTGGCCGGCCCAAAAGTTATGAAAGACATCGTTAAAATAGTCCGAGTGACTACAGTGGCTCAATCTTAAGTTTATCAAGCGACGAGAATACTTTTTGTGCGCAAAAAAACAAAACAAAAATAATAACTTTATTCAACTATTCATTTCCTTCTCTGTGGACCTCGAGTGAGTTCACGTAGTGATATTGCGCAAAGCTTCTAGGTTGTACGTCACACGCATCACACACATGACCAGCGTCGGCCAATAGTGAGCCTACATGTAACGTGCAACACAGAAGCTTTGCGCAATATCACTACGTGAAATCTCAAGGCCCACAGAGAAGGAAATGAACAGTTGAATAAAGTCGATATTTTTTTTGTTTTTTGGCGCACAAAAAGTATTCTCGTCGCTTGATAAACTTATGGTTGAGTCACTGTAGTCACTCGGACTATTTTAACGATGTCTTTCATAACTTTCATAGATTTCCTTTTCAATTATCCTTTTCATTGGAAATACGTCACAATACTGAGTAATGTTGGTGGAAACTTCCAGTTCACGCAGAATTAAGCAACACATGTCATTAATACAGCCGGATGGTTTAATGCAACAAGTGTGAATCTGATACTTAGATATATTTAGGCA